CTTGTCTGTCTGTCTGTCTTGTCTGCTTATCAACTGTCCGTTCGCCACGCCTTCATGACGTCACTCCATTGTGGGTTCCGAAGGGAAGCACTGGCGCCACAAGTATCCCTAAGGATACAAAGCAAGACCTCAGTGCGGTGATCGGACCCCCCGGTGAGTCAGCCGGCGGGCCCGGCCGGGGGCCAAGCTGAGGCATCACTGAGCAGCACCGGGCATCATCGGAGCCGCACTAGAATTGTCAGTCAATGCTTCACATTCATAGTCTTGATCAAACTTTATACATCATATTGCACATACTATAGCAGAGATGAGACTAGAACTACACTCGAAATTCAATTCTCGCAGACAGAGGTTGCAAAGTATGTATCAAACACATACTCCAGCAGTTGTACATCAAGAGGGTCTTCAATGCCCTGAATCAAATCATCTTTCGTTCTTTTCCCATCACGAAACCTGATCAGAGGGATCCGAATGTCCCACCCGTCTTGCTCCATGCGAGGTAAGATGTCATCAAAGATACACCTCATCTCGTCCTCTTGGCTCCCAGAGCAGATCCGATACCGCGACTTGCTCGCTTCTGACGGCTTCAGCACCAGCTGCACAAAGCGCTTCCATAGCAGGTCGTGCTTCTTCGCTTGCCTGATACCCAAAGCCGACTGCTCGCTCCAGGCGTCTTCCTTCTTGCCCAGAGCCTCCAGCACGTCGAGGTTGTGCTTCGCTCGCCGCGAGGAGAGGTCATTGACCCCCGCGTGGACATGCTCGAGCAGCCTGTCGATGAGCAGAGCTTCAGCCTCCGACTTGCCGGCGGTGAGAGCTTCCTTGCTCCTCGTGCCCACGGCGAGCGCGTCTGCCGCCGTCAAGATGTCGAGGCGATCCTGGAGGAGATGAGGCTCGACGAGCTCTCGGAGCGCCGCTGCCTTGCTCTGCTTCCCCTCCGCGTCCGGCGAGACCAGCAGCCACGCCAAGGTCTGCAGCACGCGGTCGTACTTGGCCAGCAGCTTGTTCTCGGTAGAGGAGGAGGGGCGCTGGGAGGGCTTGAACAGCTCCGACTCTCCTGCGGCCCTCAGGCGAGCCTCCTGCGCCTCGACTTCCTTCAAGAACAGCCCGAGCTTCGCCTTGCTGTTGTCGTCGACGTCGCCAGCCACCTCGTCGAGGTCTCGCTTGCCCTCGATCAAGACGAGCTGGATGGCTTCTCGGAGGGACCAGTTGGCGGCCTCGAGGTCTTGGATGACAGACTTGTCGAAGTAGTCCAGCTCCAGCTTGAGGAGAAGGTCCTCGGGAGGGGGGGAGAGGGCCGCGATCTTGGCCAGTCGCTCCCAGAAGGATTTGAATCGGGTCCAAATATCATTCCCCTCATCCTCTTCTTGTTCTGTCTCGTCGTTGTAGTAGATGATCTCGCCTTTATCTGGATCTGCACATGTTGAATCTTTCAAACCATATTGTTTTGTGAATTTGATGGTTTTCCAAATGCTGAATCTCGCCCCAACGTGTTTGGTATCCTTAAGATCTGAAAGCGCAGGTTCAGGTGGCAAGAAGGAGCAAGGCCCGTATGTTCTGACCTTCGCAGAGTTTAGAGAGAGATAGCGTTCCATTCCACATCTTCTTAATCGCGTCTGTGATGCCAGACCCTAACTTTTCCTTCATCGGCTGCAGATGTTGAAACTCAGTGCCGACATGGTTAAATCTATGCTAGCATCTCCTCACCTCAAAGAAGTGAGAAATCATCAGTTCTCGCTCCCTCTCCAATGTGCCTGATGTTGAAACATGACTGTCGTGAGGTGAATGAAAGTACACGCACCTGGAAACATCCTCTCTGTCTTATATCTCTCGGCGCAATCTGCATCACAGAGCTGTCGCAATGTGTTCAGCTCCATGTGATCTTGAGGGTGGAACACCTCAGTAGCCAAATCACCTGAGCAGCACGACGAAAAGCGTCTTCTTTCGAGCGAAAAGTCTTTTCATATGCACTCTCCGTCAACATGTTGGTTTTGATCGCAACTTGAGTGCTGTTGTCCACAGCTTCCTGCACCACTGCTATGTGTTCGGAGATCTGTATCATGCTTTCTTACCTTGAGCAAAGATGGGCTGATGTTTTTTATGCATATCATGACTTGCCGCAAAAACTTAGCATGATTGCCATCTAGTCTATTCCTGACAAGGACAAATGAGCGAATTCATGAAAAACCTTTGCGACGACAACATTGAAGCTTCAGTAACAACATGGACGGCTAGCAGTTGATCCAAAGCATCCTGTCGACAATCAACGCAGTCAAGCTAGGGGTTGAGACTTTGTCTCATATACCTCAAGCTCTTCAGGGAATGAGTCCGAGGTCGCTTGATTGAGGATGTAAAATATTATCCTGTCCCGCAAGTTTTGTTTAACTTTCAGGTCTCTCGAATCATCTACACACGCCCACCCAACGATCAACACCTGCCCAACAGGAGCTTCATATGCTTTGATATTCGTATCAGCTACACAAACAAACCTCGATTTCATTCTTGGGCAGGAGATCTTTTAGAATCGCATTGATTGACGCCTGTCTGTCGGCTGAGCTCTGGGAGAAAGCAGTATGCAATCGAAGAAGGATGTTCATCAGTGCTGCCTCGTCAGCGTCAAGATCTGAGATCAAGACATTTTCATCACGCACTCCATCCCAGAATTTCTCAACTTTGGGGATCAAGGAGGTATAGTTGTCTGCTGTAGCACGTAAAAGCTGATCCATATACATACGACGAACTTCATGGAGAGTTTGATGAGCCAGCCTGAAATCACTCCTGTCAAACAAGTCCTGGCTGCTTAGCTGAGCAACACAGGACAGAAGAGTGAATTGTTGCAGAGAGAACCATGCAATGCTACTGTCACAGTGAAAGACCGAGCTAGAGCTTTGAGGTAGATGACTGGCAATGTAGTTATCAAACACATACTCCAGCAGTTGCAAATCATTCTTGTCCGTCACTGTTGCAAGAAACCGAGTTCTGTCAGTTTCACCCTCTCGAAACCTGATCAGAGGGATCCGAATGTCCCACCCACACTTCTCCATGCGAGGTAAGATGTCATCAAAGATACACTTCATCTCGTCCTCTTGGCTCCCAGAGCAGATCCGATACCGTGACTTGCTCGCTTCTGACGGCTTCAGCACCAGCTGCACAAAGCGCTTCCATAGCAGGTCGTGCTTCTTCGCTTGCTTGATACCCAAAGCCGACTGCTCGCTCCAGGCGTCTTCCTTCTTGCCCAGAGCCTCCAGCACGTCGAGGTTGTGCTTCGCTCGCCGCGAGGAGAGGTCATTGACCCCCGCGTGGACATGCTCGAGCAGCCTGTCGATGAGCAGAGCTTCAGCCTCCGACTTGCCGGCGGTGAGAGCTTCCTTGCTCCTCGTGCCCACGGCGAGCGCGTCTGCCGCCGTCAAGATGTCGAGGCGATCCTGGAGGAGATGAGGCTCGACGAGCTCTCGGAGCGCCGCTGCCTTGCTCTGCTTCCCCTCCGCGTCCGGCGAGACCAGCAGCCACGCCAAGGTCTGCAGCACGCGGTCGTACTTGGCCAGCAGCTTGTTCTCGGTAGAGGAGGAGGGGCGCTGGGAGGGCTTGAACAGCTCCGACTCTCCTGCGGCCCTCAGGCGAGCCTCCTGCGCCTCGACTTCCTTCAAGAACAGCCCAAGCTTCGCCTTGCTGTTGTCGTCGACGTCGCCAGCCACCTCGTCGAGGTCTCGCTTGCCCTCGATCAAGACGAGCTGGATGGCTTCTCGGAGGGACCAGTTGGCGGCCTCGAGGTCTTGGATGACAGACTTGTCGAAGTAGTCCAGCTCCAGCTTGAGGAGAAGGTCCTCGGGAGGGGGGGAGAGGGCCGCGATCTTGGCAAGTCGCTCCCAGAAGGATTTGAAACGTTCATAGACTATCTGATACTTCTTTTTCTTCTTCGTTTTCTCCTGTCCACTATCCTTCTTTTCTGATTCAGATTCTGACGATGAGCTTGACGGTGAACCCGACGATGAATCCGATTGAGACAAAGCTGAGCGCATGTCTCGAGCTGCAAGCTTTGCTATCTTTCTTGCATTTTTGTTTTTCAGCAGCTCCAAAATATGCATGACGTACAATTTTTCTTTCTTTGATAAGCCTTGGGCCAATTTCTCAGCATCTCTGCTACCTTGTGAGATCTTCTCGTAAACATCTTTAAGGTTGATTCCTTCACTCGATAGAATATCTAGAGAAGGCGCAATGGTTTCTTTGATTTCCTGGGGTGAACCTGGAGCAGCAGCGATCGCCAATGCACTTAGGATGGGACGATGCTTTGCCTTGATGGACTTGTTGGAGCTCATGGACGTTGCTTGCTTCGACTTGTTCTCCTCCACTTGCTCTGGTTCAGCCCGCACGCTTGACTGGAAATAAAGAGTGTCCGTCTTGACGTCAAAGCTCGGGTCGAACCCCGGAGACATCATGTCCCTGATTATGAACAGTTCCGACAAGCGCCTTCCTTTCAACGTGATACTTTCACACGACCTCCAGTTGAGTCTGAATTGACTTCTCAGCTTCTCCCTCACGCTGTCAAGGTCCGCGTTGATGCTAACACACACTTTCTTTAGCTCCCGATGCCCTTCAAACTTCACTCGGATGAACAGGTATGGTGTGTCATCGATGCGCTGATGCACTCCGAGGGCGGACGAAAGTTGAATGTGGATTTGTTCGACTGAAGGTCTTTCGCTCTCCTTCAGGTCTGTACATTGCAACGCAAACAACGTGATATCACTCGCTGTTCCGGCGTCCCAGTCTGCTTCCCGATCATACCTCCACTGGCTCAAATCATTCGTGCGAACGTCATCTGCAACTTTCTCTGTGAGCAGCTTTTGATCGCCAGTGACGGCATGCTCCTTGCGGACGATTTGCATCAAACTCACTCCGAAGCTGTAGATATCGATGTACTGTGAAATCCTCTTGGTTTGTACGTAAATGGGACACATGTATCCGTCTGCAACATCCACCAGTCATCAACGTATGCAAAATGCTTTTCAAAGCAAGATTTGACCTGTGCCTGCTGCACTATGGCGGGTTCTTGACATGGCAAGCAGCAGTCGGGAGTCCATGGTATCAGCCTGGTTGTGAATCACCTTGGAGAGCCCGAAGTCACCAATCTTTGCGTTCATCTTCTCATCAAGAAGGATATTCGCCGGCTTGAAATCTAGATGATAAACCCCAAGATTATGCAACTCTACCAGTCCACGGGCAGCTGTATACAAGTCAGTCGCTTCAAAAGCTCTCAAGTGTAGCAAGACCTTGCCACAAGATCTGCAGTCGAAGCTTCCAAGGGAGTTTGCTATAGTTTGCATCGAAGAGATGCTGATGAAGTGTTCCGTTCTCGTACAAGGTGAAAACGATTGAACGGAAATCCAAAATTGCTGTCGAGTCAGCATTATCGTCGTCTATGTTGCAGGCTCCGAGCATTTGAACAAAAAAAGGCGATCGCACTACCCTGAGAATCTTTGCTTCTCTAACAAGCTGATCATATTGCTCTTTGCTAGGTGGTTTGCCATTAATGGGTGAGAGAACTTTTACAGCTACATTGCCTATAGATTGCAGTGTTCCACGATAAACTCTACCACACGCACCTTGTGCTATGACATGAGAATCATTGAACTCGATTCTTGACGCAACTATTCGGCCCCCAATACATCCCACAACTTCTTCCACTGAAAAAGACCTTGTTGCATCGACATCTCGTTTACTTGTTGGCTCTGATTGGTCTTGAGACCTCCCGGCTGACGTGGCATTCGTGTCAATTTCATTCGTTTGCTCATAGATCTGCAGAATTTTCGCATAAACTGCTTCCGACCAGCCCTGATCCCCCACTTGCAAAGAGCTATCCGACAGATTCAGAACATGATTGGAAGGAAACATGCGGGTACATTCTTCTACCGAAACATCTCTGTCATACATCACCAGCAACACTGGTCTCTGGATGCTGACTGCCACCATGTACTCCTCAGACACAGTGCTACATTGCAGGGTCCCTTTGCCAACAAAGATCACGACCACATCGCTTCTCATGATTCCTGATGATATCGTGTTATACATCTTGGCAGCTGGAGAGTGCTTGATGGGAACAAGCTCCTTCAGAGCTTGATCAAGTCGATTCATGTTGGTCTCGAACATTGTGGAATTCAGGAAATCAAGGTACATCCTCCTCTTCCCGATCTCAGCTCCTACGGGCCCATACCATGCCTTCGAGTCCTTGGGAAACTGCAGCCCTTTTCTCACTTCGAATTCTTCAAGAATGACAGGGATAAACATTCTTCCCGAGCCTTTTTGGCTGATAGTCGCTGAATACTCGAAGCAGACATTGTCGTTGACGTCATCGTTGTTCACCTTGTCCATGTAACTCTTGGTCAAGAAGATGATCACGACATATGACTGCTCTATCGCCTGAGCCATGCAAGATTTCAGATTAGGCTTCATGTCATTCTCATCCAAGAAAGTCGACCATCCTCGCTTCTCTAGTTCGATACTAATTCGTTTGACTTGTTCATGAGTGCTGGTCCCATCAAGTTTGTTCTGCCACGAGTGACTCAAAAACACGTCCTTGGGAACGTTTGCTATGTCGAGGACATAAAACCCTGACGACCGCATCTTCATCTCCAGCTTGTGCAGGAGGCTTCGATCAGGCCCCTTGCACAGGTAGATTGCTGGATTGGTAGACTTGAGCGTGCTCATGTCAGCTGCAGCGATGGACGCGGTCTCTCTTTGGAACCTAGCATGCAGCGGAAACTCACTCGTGGCCACGTCGATCGGAACCTCTGACGGGCTGGAGGTGGCATGGACGCTTCCGCCGCAACCCATGCCGAGTCGCTCTATGACACGTTCTGTTCCTCTTGACACGTTCTGTTCCTATGAAAAAACCTCTTTTCGCAACTCGACACGTTTTGTACCTCGTCGGCTTTGCTGGGGTCCGACATGCCGCCGTCGCTGTCGAGGCATGAGTCGCTCCGGCTGGACGAGATCGCAGACTTCAAGTTTGACGGCAACGAGGGTGAAGTCGAGCTCGACCTCACCACCTTGTTTGTCAAGAAATCCAATGCCGGCTTCATGACAACCTCCACGCAATTAGCAAAATGCTTTCAAGGCTGTAATCCAGAAGAACAGAGTTTAACGTTTGTGGAGGACGAGATCACGTGGTTTCTGAACAAAGAATCTATCAAACAGACCGATGAAGCATTTCTTGAATTCTTGCAATCAAGAAGCTCTGTGCAAGAATCCGATGTTAAGGTCGAGGACGAAGCAGTCGGAGACACGGTTCTGGAAAATTTCGATGATTTTCAGGCTGGCGACCTCGTGGTTCTGAGTTCAAAGAAGCGCATGTCATCAGTACCTGTTGATGCTGAGCTTTCCTTCTGTGCTGCAGACTTTCACCACTGCCTGGGATTCTCACAGGAAGATCGATATGGCATAGTGCTAGAGACCAGCCGTCACTTGCTTGAAGTCCAAGGAGCTTCTCAAGACTATCAGGTCAAAGTGGCGTCGTTAAAGAAGTGCGCGTGTTTGTGCGTGTGAGACGTGTTTGATTTGGTTTCAGTGGCGCTATTTGCACCTACTCCGCATCGGATCTGAGTTTTGCGGATGGAACAAGGTTTGGATGGATGCCAGCAGAAGATGTGCCAATCTCGCCTGGAGACAACCCGAGCACAGATAAATCGAGCACAGATAAATCGAGCACAGATAAATCGAGCACAGATAAATCGAGCACAGACTCAAGCTCTAGCAAGGGCTCAGAGGAATCAAGCTCTAGCGGAGAATCAAGCTCTAGCGGAGAATCAAGCGCTAGCGACGATTCAAGCTTTAGTGGTGAGTCAAGCAGGATGGGAGTTTTAAGTGGGAATGCAGATGCTTTCATTTCCACGTTTGTACATAACATTGCTGCAAATGCCGGGCTCCGGCTTTTCTGACTTTCCACGTTGCTTGTTCAGGTCCTGCAGGAGTCATTGACATGAAGAGTTCAAGTAAGTCGTCAACACTTGACCGGCTCTTTGATCAAGATGAGTCCACATATTGGCAATCGGATGGTCGTTCTGGCGAGCACTGGGTTGAGGCTCACATTGCCGAAGGCTACCTCATCAAGTCTGTTCAAATGTTTGTTAAAGGTAGCGATGATAGTTATTGCCCGAAGCAAATTGAGGTCTTGACATCCAAGAAAGTGCAATCAAAGCTTCGATCTGAGGGAAAACTGAAGCTGCCGATTTCGAAGTCTGACGATCTCAAAAGTTTCACAATGCTTACGAACAGCGATGCAAAAGTTGTAAGAATACATGTGCATGATTCAGGCGGCATCAACTGCAAAATCAGAGGTCTGGCGATATTGTTGGTGCCGTGTGATTATTTGCAGGGCGGAACCAGAGTACAACTAGATCACCAGTATAAGGGGAACTCTACAGTCTTAGGCACTGCTACTCAGCAAAAAGTCGGAGTTGTCGTATGTTCCTTGGGCAATGTTGATGGAGAAGGAATGAAAAACGTCGCAGTCTATGCAGAAGAAGATCCGTTTAGGATAGAGTTCTTCGATGGGAAAGATCTCAGACCTGAAGATGCTAACGTTTTTCGGCGAGGAGATGTGGTCCAATTGGGAAGTCCAGAAACTGTCAAGGTAGGCAAGAATGCTGTTGGGGTTGTAGTACATGCCGGAGTGATGCGCGAAAGTATTCAGAGAAATGTACAAGTCGTCTGGATGGACTTTAAAAGCTCACGACCTTGCTTACTTCCCTCCAGCGCTTTGTGCAAATCTTCCCATGCTGCTCAATTTGACGAGGACGATGAGAAGTCGCTCATAGAAGCATTGTCAAAACTTGGTGTCAGCAGCGAGATCGACGTCGAGAAAATCACTCGTCTTGTCACGCTTCAAGCATGGTCACGACTGTGGGAGTTGAAGACTGTTTCGGATGAAAAAGCGCTTGCGTACTTCATCGAGTGGCATCGCAAGAGAATGAAACTCAAGCTTGCTCGCTCTCGTCCGATCTTGATGGGACACGATGACTACGACAAGATGACTCAAATGATCATCAGCAAACATGTCGCTACTTGGAAGTGTGATTCCTGCGGATATTCTGGAAATCGGGGAATGAAAGGCTGCAAGATGTGTGGAAACTTGCGAACCTTTTATCGATGCAAGCAGTGCTCACGAGTGTCAAGTTTGAAACAAGCTTCTTGCGTGCAGTGTGATGAGGCACGAGAGAACTGCCCTGACTTTCATGTTCCAGATCTCAACTACGAATTTAACAGACTTGACAAAGAGCGCAAAGGACGAGTACTCTCTGAAGTTCTTTTCCAGAGCCTGCAGCAAAGAATCCACCAGGATCAAGTGAGCCAGATCTTTGATTCCTTGCCGGCGTGTAATGATTACATTACCTGCGATGAATACAAGAAGGCCATCAGCTGTTGCAGTCTTGACAGAGATCTCGCAAGACGAGTGCAGACTAAGAATGCCAATCAGGACAGATTGCCCGAATCGAAGAACATGTATGTGCTTGTTCTGTCTCAGGGTTTGACAGGGCAGTGCGAAAGCTTTTCTGAGTTTTCAGTGGGAAAACTTTCGGTGGAGGAGCACACGCTTGAAGCTAGTGAGAGGAAGGTGGAGATCAATGGAGCGACTCAGTCAGTCGACGCTTCTCGCCTTGTTTCCCTTCCGACTCGATCTCGACCGAGATTTGCTGACTTTCCTCCCTTTCCTGCCTTCGATGTGCTGCCAGTGAGTCAGGGAGAGAACAAGTCGGTCCAACGTCAGCCCGAGCAGAATCATCTCGTGAGCAGAGGAATGCAAACTTTCGGAGCGATCAGCAGCGAACGGAAGAACAACGCGATAGTCAATTCGATACAGAAGTCGATGGAAGCAGAAGATTCTCAGTTGAGAGAAGAATACGATGGAAGTCAAATGACCAGAGTCATCAAGACAATGGCTGACATGCTGAACCTGCGCGATCGATTTGGGAATACTATAGCTCACTACTTGAGCCTGGCCGGGTTGAAAAAGTCGTTACATGCTCTCATAAAAGCTGGAGCAAACATCTGGACTGAAAACCATTTCTTTCAGAGTGTAGCTATGTTCGAAGATGGAATATTTCTGGCAGGCGGAAGAGAAAGAGATGTACATCATGCCATCCGGCAAGGAAATTTCTTCATGAGATTGAAAGATCATGACAGGGCCAAGATTATTTGCAGCATTCTCTCTCGAGCTGAACCGATGCTGTCAGAAGAGATCTTGTCATTACGGGAAGATGTTTTGCGTCTCACATCACAAGACGCCATCAACCGTCCGTTCATGGAGAAGTGCAGAGATGGGTGCAAAACAAACATGGATGCTCGAATTTATTATGCCTGCTCGCTGATTGAAAGAGGATTCAGCATCGACGAGGCCGAGAAGCAGCTCGACATTTACATCCAAGATGTCATCAGGCACAAGACTATAGTGATCGATCCCTACTTCTTTTACGTCTACTATCTCCACTTTTTGCTAACAAGCGATCTGACCATGCCTGAAGAGCTTCAGAGTGCTTGTGCGCTGATGGTTCTTCATCACCTGAATGTTCACACGGATACCTATGAGCTTGTCAAGCAAGACAACTTGAGAAAGCTCAAGGAGCAGCCTCTGACTGCTGACCTGCGGCTGTTTGAGAAGAAGACATCCCAAGAAGAGAAAGAATGGATAGCTGCCAAGACTGCATACGGCTTCACTTCAGAGTCGCTGGACCAGTAAGCGCACAATATGCTTGCGCTGCTCCCTGTGGATCTAACGCTACCTCGCAGGCTGATAGGTCTAGAAGGCTTGTCGGAGCTCAAACGATATGCCCTGGTGCATGTCAAGAAGGTAACGGAGGCAGCGACAAGTCGTACGAGTGACCTGCTGGCGTTAGGCGCTTCTCAACAAGGACTCGCCCATCAAGCACCACATTCATGCTTCTCAGTGCCTCCTCCTCATCGGCAACCGAGGGACCGGGAAGACTACAGCTGGGAAGCTGTTGGGCCGCTCCATGTGTCAGCTTGCATCCGAGGAGGCGAAGTTTGTTGAGGCGAGCACCTTCGACGTTCTCAAGGAGAAGGACCCGGCGCAAAGACTGGAGACGTTGATGACGCAGGCGATCGGAGGATGCTTCGTCCTTGATGACGTGGACCAGTTGATCCCGAGGCCCAAAGATCAGCAGCCCAACGAGTCGAATCAAGTCTTGGACAGCTTTTTCGCCTTCATCCGTCGTCACCGAGTCAACACAAACTTCATCATCATCGGGGACCGCATGCTGGTAAGAGAGAGGCTGTCGACGCATCTCATTCCCTTCACCTCCATCATCCACACCATCGAGCTGCCTGACTTCAGCGAGCGTCAACTCCAGCGCCTGTTCATTCGGTTTCTAAGGGAAAGAGGCCTTCACTTGGAGCCGAAGCATCTGTGTAAGATCGACCTCTCTCAAACCCTGGCCAGAAGGCTCGTTGGCAATCGACCAAAGGTGGGATTCGGAAATGCGCTGGACGTGGAAAAGATCGTGGAGAACATTGTACACAATCAGATGGAACGATTGGGAAGTTTGAAGCTGGCGAACAAACCGGTCAGGGTGGAGGAGTATCGAACAATAACCACACAAGACGCCCTGGGGACGAAGCCTTCAGTAGAAGACAACAAGACACTAGCGCAACTGAACAAGATGATCGGGCTGAAGAATGTCAAGGAGCAGATGACCAAACTGGTGGAGTTGTGCGCCATTTCGTACCAGAACGAGCTGCTGGGAGGGAAACCTGAAAGCATCTCCTTGCATCGAATCTTCTATGGGAACCCAGGGACCGGGAAGACAACAGTAGCTCGACTGTACGGTCAGCTCCTCAAAGAATGTTCCCTCCTTTCCGTAGGGGACCTGATCCAAGTCACTCCCTCCGACCTGACAGGCAACGCTGAAGGATCGGCGGCGACTATCACCAAGAACGTGATAGAGGAGGCGCGAGGTAAGGTGCTCTTCATCGATGAAGCGTACATCCTCGACCCCAACCGCAAGGCCAACCAATATGGTGGGAACGTGCTGGACACCCTGGTGGAGAAGCTGGATGGTGAAGCAGGCAGCGACATCGCAGGTTGAATTGTTGTGGTGCGCTCCTGTCATTTGCTGACTCGCAGCTGCGTTCGCTTCATCACATGCCGGTCTGCAGTCATTCTTGCGGGTGAGACAAGTGTTCGCTTATCTACATCGATGAAGTATGTTGGCAGGTTACAAACAAGAGATGAAGGACATGTTTGAGAACAACGCGGGACTGAAGCGAAGATTCAACTTTGATGACTTCGGGCTTCTTTTTGAGGACCTCAACGAGTACGAGATGCAGCAGGTCCTGACCATGAAGGTCAAGGACGAGGGCCTCAAGTTCGCCGACATTGAAGACATCCCTACCATCTCTCGCTTTCTCTGGCAGCGGAGGAGGCTCCCTAACTTCGGGTACCACTCGCCCAGCCGCCTCTTCCTGCCTTGATCGCTGACTGCACGGGACCAGGAACGCAGCGACTGTTGCCTCTCTGGTGAACAAGGCCAAGGCGAGCTCCTGCTTTGAGATCGTTACCCAGTGTAACGCGAGTCACTGCAGGTCAACAAGGCCAGACGGCTCTCAACGGCTGCTGGATCAGCCATGGAGTGGAACGTCCTCACATTGGCTGACTTTGAGATAGAGAACGACGACGAGTCGGTGGATGCCATCTTTGCCGGCCTCTACAACATCTCCAACGTGCAGACTATGGTGGAGCAGATCATCGCCATGGTCTCGATCGCGGAGAGAGAGGAGCGGGATCCAGCAGACGTGCTGGCTGACAGCCACATGGTCTTTGTTGGACCACCGGGGACAGGGAAGACGACAGTAGCGAGACGGATGGGGAGGCTGTTCAAGAAGCTGCACGTGCTCCCCTCTGATGATGTCATCGTCGTCAGCGGCACATCTCTGCAAGGGACGTATGTGGGAGAGACCAAGACGATCGTGAGAAAGGCGATGAGCCGGGCCAAAGGAGGAATCTTGTTCGTGGATGAGGCGTACAGCCTCTGCAACTCGAAGCACAGCAACGAGACTTACACGTCATCGTACGCGATGGAGGCTGTAGAGACGATGATATCGTTGATGACCGAAGAGGAGTTCAAGGGAAATCTGCTGGTGATCCTTGCAGGTTATGAAGAAGAGATGGATAAGCTGTTCAAGAGTGTGAACCCTGGTTTCCGAAGTCGCTTTGACAAGTACAGGTTGACATTTGACGCATGGACGGCCAGTCAAGCTTTGAATGCTACGATCGAGGAAGTGAAGAGGGCTGGGATCGAGATTTCATCGAAATGCCACGATCTTCTCCTGCAGAAGTACGAGAGGCTGACCAAGTTACAAGGATGGGCTTCAGCTCGAGACGTGGTGGAGATCGTCCTCACGGTATTGTCTCCCATCTCACGCTCGAACGTCTGACTGCTTGTACAGGGGCTGTACCGCCACCGTGCTTATCGCCTGCGCGAAGCATCAACTACCCCAAGTCAAAGTGTGGATGGATCGTACACGAGTGAGGACATCGAGAAAACGTTCTCAGAGATCTTTCAACGAAGAAGTCAGGTTGGCACGGAGAAGGAGATGGAGGAGGACGTCAAGAACGAGCGCAAGGAGACTCGAATGGAAGAATCATTTCCTGCTGAGCCGAGCCAACACAGCTCATGGCTGAGATCGCCTGCTCACCCAGCATCTTCAACATCACAAGGAAATGTCCTCGAAGCTCCCATGGCGACTCCTCCTGCAGCAGCTAAACCTGTGAGGAACAGAAACATCAAGAAAGTCCTTCTCAACACAAGAAAGCAAGACAGCTCTTCGGCAGATCCCAGTCTGCTATCTCCCCTCCTGGAGCAAGCTTGCAAGGAGTTGGGCTACTCCCTCGATGACCTGGAGGCCATGCTCAGTCGATCCATCGACGATCGTGTAGTGGATCATGTGATGAGACAAGGAGGGTTTCAGGACAAGGACAAGGTGCGGTACGGGTTAGAAGGATGCAGGCTTCCTTTCTTGAAGCAGGTCAGGCGTCTCATCCTTCAGCAAGGGCAACAGAAGACTGCGGAGGAGGAGGCGAGGCAGGAGAGGATCAAGGCGCTCGGAAGGTGCCCGATGGACTTTGAGTGGATCAAGGTTGATGGAGGCTACCAATGTGCTGGTGGTAGCCACTTCATCACGGACGAGGAGGTCACATAGTCGGCAATAGACACAAGGCCTGCCTGCGAATAGACACGTTTGTGTGATATACCCTGCTTGTTTGGACCATACCACGAAATATCGATGAAGTGTCAAAGAGAACAAGTGTCGTCGGTTGAAGACTAGGAACTTGATACGCGAGGTCTCTTGAATCATCTTCAATCAACTTTGACACATCGAAACTTGGATGCCTGTCCATTTCATGCCGACTTTAACGTACAGTCTTAAGATCAAACTTTGCTTCAGTCACCTGCGAGTTCTCTCAGAGACACCATCCCATCTGAGCGGTGAAAGAAACTGACCATGTCAGTGCATGTTTATCGACTCCTCTCCTTCCCCCATCTGCTCTCGCTCCCCTGACTACGAACTCGTCAATGCTTTCCCCGACATGTTGCTACATTGCAGCCGAGACAGTAGACGGAAAGTTCTAGAATGGCAGTGGAAGAGGAGATCACACAGGGCTCGCTGCCGCTCCTTCATAACGATGCTACCGGATCGAGGATCCTGCGTGTCTCAGTCTATAGGGAGACCAGCTCCGTAGGTTGATCCTGATAGCATCCGAGCAGCTGTCCCCTCAGTTCATTCACCATCGTCTGCTATGCTCAGGTGTACGACATCGTTGACTTGGCTGGTCCCTCGATCACTCCTGTCCCTCGTCCCCTCCAAACCACATGGTTGCAAGCTAAGCCTGGTTGCAAGCAGGTTGCAAGAGGGTACAGCTTGATGTCACAGGGGTCTATTTCCCCGTGAACCACCTTCAAGATGATGGGTGGGGTCCTCTGACCTAAGGAAGAGCCATGGGAGGCAGTAAGCTATACGAGGAAGAGCGAGGAGGAGTTCCAGGAGAGAGAGGACGATGATGAAGACGACAACGACTACTGGGATGCTCTACGTTGCTTGCTGGAGGAGAGCCGTGCCGTTGGCTGTTTCTGATTACACCGCAAGGGAACTGAAGTGAAGGTGAGGGCTGTCCTTTCGCGCTCTGCTTTCACGCTCTCTGTTGGCTCTATTCTCATCCTCCCCACCTTCTTCCTGCATTGCTCGACAAAACCCCATCCCTAGCATCGCAGGATGTCAGGAAAGCGCGACCGTTTCATGGAAGTTCGACGGTACCTGTGCCAATGGCACGGTGAGGATCTCAACATGTGTCGGCAGCCTCCTACACAACGAGGAGCGGGGATGTCGGCTAGCGACTTCGATGCTCGTGCAAGCTCCATGCAGAGGTCGCAAGGTGGGTGCGAGGGACCTGGAGTATGGTGCAGCAGTACAGACAACGCACAGCTCGCCTTTGTCGCCATGGCAGCTGCAGTTGTCTTGCTCTGCTTGTTTCGTCATCGCTTCTCCAAGTTCGGGTTTCGATACATGGGAGAGATGACGCCGTTGAATCGATGACGCAAGTTGATGAGGTGGTTCGATGGTATCCACCTTGTCCGCGATCTAGAAGGACCTAGAAGAACCTTGGAACATGAAGGGTGAATGAAACACAATTTCCCCTCGTTCCTGGCTGTGATAGAAATCGGGGATGTTCTCTTCGGCGCTCAGGTTTACGTTGCCCTGGATCGTGATAGATAAGCTACAGCATGAGTGCATGATCACAGGCTAAGCAGGACATCGTAAAGGGGCTGTCGATCGACGAGTGTGCGGTGGACACGTTGAGGTGGCGTTCGCTGCAGAACGCGCTGGACAAGGTGCAGAATAGAATCGACATTTTACTCAGGTTTGACTGTACAAGAACACATTCTACATTGGAAAAAATATCTTATGATACATAATGTACATGCGAAGTGCATTGTCACAGGGTTTTTATCCCTGAGGAACCTGGAATCATATCCAATGTCAACATGAAGGATACACAAAAATACTCTCAGGAGTGAACGACACACAAATCGACATAGGGAACATGTCAGATGTAGCTTGGGGTGAAGCAGATTGCTCATCTAGACAACAACAGTCCGCCGATACCCGCATTCATCGCATGTTGCTGCTTGTTGAAACGGTGCATGCCACGGGAAAAACAGCACCGTAGATACAACAGCCATTGACGGAGCATACACACTTCAAAGTAAATTAAACAATATACAGCAAGCTGCAAGAGGCAAAGATCATGATTCAACCATAATATCACAGGCAATATCGTCTCTCATAACATCATAGATGACATCTTCTCTCATAACATCACAGACGACATCTTCTCTCATAACATCACAGACAACATCTCCCCTCACTCGCTCACTCACCTGCTTCTCATCTCCTCCGCATGCCGCGCGCCTTCACTGCCGCACGTGCATGAATCCTCGGCAGAGTTCCACCCCCGCCCCAACCTTTCTTTTTCCTTCAAAATGCTCCCTACCCTACCCTGGAAATATTCAGTTTCATCTCGGACCCTATGTATTATCACTGTATTACCCACCTTTTGGTAGTACAGTACCACCCCATAAATTTGATGACCCCTACTCTACCGCCATCCCACTGCAATGTTTCCAATAAAAAAATCAATGAGAATGTGTAAAAGAAAACGGTTTCAAACGGCAGCTTCCGTTGAAGAACAATGTGCAAATCTTGCCAGGAAGGAGTAGGAGTAGGAGGAGGAGGGAGGGGAGGGGAGGGGAGGGAGGCAATGAAAGGGAAGGGAAGGGAAGGGAAGGATGGCTGACCAAGAGGCAGGCAAGCAGGCAGAGAGGAGTTGAGAGAGAAGGGGTAATGATGGTTTCGTTTCTTGCTTGTCGTGGCTGTTTGCAACATGCTGGCTTGTATGCAAGGGCATTGTGTTGCTGCCATTGAATTCAACCTGACTGAATCTCTTGTCAGGTGAATGCTTCATCCTCACTTGACGAACTTGAATCCCTCTCCTTAAAAAGGATCAACAGAGTCCATGGCCACCATGGAGGAGGTGAAATTCGCAAAACAAACCGAAAACAATCTGGCGACCATCCGAAGCTACCTATCAGGGTTAGCGCAGTGTGGAGGTCATCGGAAGCTTGTTGTGAAGGGAGAATCCACCAACATGAGCAACAACAGGATGCAAGTCCAGGAGAGATCCAGAGAGCGCAATACGGTAATTCAACGCAGGGAGATGATGAAGGAGAGGAAAACGCAGACAATGGTCGATATCATGATGATCCTTGACACGAGTCATCTATCAGACATTCGTCAAGAGTTCATGGACGAAGAAGATGGCCTGACGCTGACGGCCTTTGTCAAGGTGATGCTCAAGTACCTCACCAAGAACAGTGTGCGGGAGGAGCAGCTCGTCGCTGCCCTGTGCGAGCTTTTTGCTCAGGTGGACGTGAATGGGGATGCGACGATGGAGTGGGATGAGTTCTACGAGTACATCCATGAGCAAGGGATGGCGGAGGGCGCATTAGAGGCGAGTTCGGTGATGCGATACAACCCAAAGAAGGTCTGGGAAGACAGAAGTTTGCCCAAGAAAGTAGAGAGCATATCGTACTACGAATCGACAGATTGGATCGGGATTACCATCAACAACAGTCTTGACTTGTTGATCTACGATCTGTTCGGAAAGAGACACGTCCACTCCCTTGCTCATAAGGCGGCAGTCCTTGCGTCAACCTACATCGACAACCGGGTAAAGAAGTTGATCGTTGCCGTCACTTGCGACGCCTCCATCACGATCTGGGACACGCAGTCAGTATGGGAGGCTTCCGGGTTCGCGGTGATCAGTAACAAGCCCGATGGAAGCCCGATGATGGTTGCTCCTGACAACCAGAACACTCTGTTCTGGGATGCAGAGAGCGCTACTCTTTTCACCGGGAGTGTGAACGGGCATATTCTCACATGGGACATCACCGCGATGGAGCAGAAGAGCGTCAAGATGCAAGCTCAGAAGAGTGCGATCAAAGTGATTGTGGACGTTCCTTCGCTGGATGGGATTCTGACGGGATACCTGGATGGGACGATGATCCTGTGGGAGAAAGGAGGGGGCAAGAAGCCCAAGAAGGTGTACAGAGGGCACAGGAACGGCATCATCGCCATCGCCTACACGCACGAGCTGAAGATGATCGTGAGTGCCGGCGTGTCAGACGAAATTCTCATCTGGAACCCCTTCGTTGAGAGGAAGCTGACGGAGCTGCACGGGCATAGAGCCCCGATGCTCGGCCTCCACATCGTGGCCTTGCGCACGGGGGCATACCAGCTGCTCTCTGCAGACAAGTCGGGGACTTTCAAGGTGTGGGACCTGCGGACTCTTGAGTGCTTGCAGAGCTTCTCTTGCGATGCCGGGCTGCAGGATGTGAAGCAGTACATCAACCTGCCCAGCAAGAACTTGATCATCGCCGCTGGGGCGAGGAAGTTCCAGGAGTTCGAGTTCTGCTTCTCTCACACCCCCGAGCTGACTGACGACGAGGAGATAGTTTGCGCCCTCTACAACGAGGTGATCGACTCCTTCATCACCGCTGCCGGCTGCTCCGTCCGCATCTGGGACTCGTCGACCGGGCAGCTCCTCAAAAGTTTCCCAGACATCTCGCCTTACCCGATCATCTCAATGTGCCTGGACGACCGTCAAAGGAAATTCTTCATCGGGGACGCCCAAGGGAACATCACCTGCCACAACTACATCAACGGGGTTCTCATGAAGTCCTTCGAGGCCCACGGGGACGAAGTTTCCCAGCTCGTCTACTGCAATCTCGACAAGTGCCTGCTGTCCTCCTCCTGGGATCGGCATGTCTGCATCCACGACGACATGGACAACGACGAGGGAGTGCTGCTGAGGACGATGAAGGGTCACTCCAAGGACATCACGTGCCTGGCCAACTCCTTCTCCCTCAAGCTGGTGGCCACGTCAGGAGCCGACGGCCACATCCTAGTTTGGCATTACGGGCTGGGTGTGCTGGAGGGGATTTGCAAGGGCCACTCGCAGGATGTTACAGTCCTCACGTTCCTCGAGCCTTTCCCTCTCCTCCTCTCCGCTGACATCCTGGGCAACGTCTGCCTGTGGGGGATGCCCCCAGCTCACGTCTCGCTCCGCTTCAAGTGCATCAGCAGGATTAAGAACATCCTCCTCCAGAGTGTCTACAGCGTCGTCCTGTGCGCCGCCTTCTTCCCCGAGGAGAAGTGCGTCGTGACAGGAGACGAGGGGGGAGAGATCAAGGTCAGGTCCCTCGACGTCTTCCTCCAGAACCTCAAGAACTTCTCTAGACCGGATGAAAGTATGGAGCTTCAACCGGTTCCTGAGCCCCAGGCAACGGACATCCTGGAGCTGCGGCTCAGGAGGAGGGGAACGACTTCGATTCCGATTCCTCCTCCCCCTAATCCGAGGGAGAGCTTCAATGACTCGCAACGAGGAACGGGGGCGAAACTTGCGGACGGCGACAAAGTATTCCCCGTGCTACAGCAATGGCATGCACACGACTGCGTTCGGTCGATCTCAGCGCTGCAGGGGAAGCGGGAGATCATCTCGATAGGGTTCGACCATCTGGTCCGCGTTTGGTCGCTCGACGGGAGGCTGCTGGGCACGTTGAGGCAGGGCAACACCATCTTCGAGGAGTGGCTCTTCAAGCCAGGGGATGAAGAGAAGCTAGCGGCGCTCAAGGAGGAGGCGGCAACAGTTATGGAGGAGATCAAAGCCTCGGGGGATGACAAGTGAAGGGCACGTGAGGGAGACTTGCTGTATCCTGCTACTCGAACCCCTCGCATCTCCTCCACAACACACCAGTCTCTTAGATTGGCGAAGGTCCAACACTGATGAGCGTAACGTCGTAGACGAGATCAGTGTTAGGAGGAACCTGTGAAGATCGTTAGGGGAAGAGGAGAAGGAGGACAGGGGGGCTGGGGAGGGCATCGGAAGGGGGGGGGGGGAGAGAAGTAGCGAGCAGCAAGCTTACCAAGCAACCCTTATCCTCGAGACAAACTCCTCGTGCTCCATAACCAAACTCAGATTTCATAAAGATCTGCCTTGCCTCTCCTGCCTTCATCCCAATGATCCCCTGGTCGAGGCCTGGGACCACCTGCTTCTTCCCGACCTGCCCACCTCACCGTTCAACAAACACGCACTCGCACCTACTCGCTGCACCTGGAAGGCGACAGGCTTGCCTCTCTTGCGCGTGTTGTCGAAGATGGTGCCTGCAGCCACAGCATGGTTCAGTGACTGAGCAACGGGAGAAACTTTTCACCGTCTCTAAGGTACGCGATGTAGTCGATGACAACAAAGTCTGCAGGTCAACCCCTTCACATTCCAACAAGCAGCGGCGACTCCTCTCACCTCCCTCGTTCACGCCAGCGGTCAGCCCGCTCAGGATCCCATCGTTCTTCTTCTTGTCGACGTAGGACAGGCCAGGCTTCACGATCACAGCCTCACTCCCTGGCCGCATCCTGTCAGGCACCAGCAGGTAGCGCTGCCCATCCTCTGTATACCTTTCTTGCTCGTCTTCTCTGCTGCAAATACAGGAAGAGCAGCACCAGCAGCAGCCACAGACAAGCCTGCTAGCTGTCAACCAACTCGAACCCCCCCCATGGCACTGACCCTGGATGAGGCTCCTGCGCGAGAGCTCTTGGTCGAGGCCCATGCGAAGAGCGCAGCTGGCGGTGCGAGATGGACGGAGCTTGCAGCCCGTCAGTACAACAAGAGGAGGAGGCGAGGGCCTCACGTTAGCCGGAACAGCGGTGGGGGTGAAGGCGTTGGAGAATTCGGTCATCGTAGCGAGGACGACGGAGAGGGGAGCAATCCAGGAGCGCATTTTGATACCAGTGGGCGAGATAAGAAAACCTGCAACGGAGGCACTGCATAAATGAGAGTTCCCACGTCGCACAACACTGCAATTCTTCGATTCTTTCTGCACCCCCAAATATACAACCATGTTCGTTCCTCTTCAACATCGAATTTATGCAGCTTCCACCTTACCCACCTACCATCTTCCTTCTCATGAAACATGACTTCAGCCATAGCTCGCTCCTATATCCATCCCTTATCGCTCCCTCCCTCTCCTTCGCTCTCGTTTCCCTCTGTCAGCATTTTGCAACCCCCTTTAGATGTATCTGACCCCACATCCCCACTCAAGCCCTACCCGGCCCGCCGAGGGCCACGGCCGGGGTCCCGTCTAAACTGAGAGCACGGCCATCAGAAATCTCAGAATCATTTTGAAAATTATCTACTTCTTAGTTTCAAATAATGATGACTACTTTCAAAATATTTGAAAAATCGGGGACATCACGGATTCGCAACGAAGGCCATTTTTGATCAGGGAGAGGGCAAAGGAGGCGGCAAGACAAAGCAGGTGGATGGGCGCCAATGGTGTGAGAACGACTGGGACAGGGAAGGACAAGGTGGGCAGAGGGTAACAGGGGAAAGTTTGGGGATACAGGAATCATCTGATGAGAGAACGGGAACTTAGAAGGGGGTCATGCAGTACTAGAACGAATGAGGAGTAGAGTCAGAGAGGAAAGAATTCCCCAGGCCAAGGACCGGAGTTGGGAGACGGATGTGCTAACTACCAATCTCTTGGCAGGCATGATGAAAGTGAGATGGACAGGATGATGTCAACAAGTCCAGCCCTGTGAAGACACCGCCTCCTCTCATGGCGAGCACTACTCGCCCCCCTGATATCAACCAGGACGAGAACGGAGGGGAGGCCACAAAGAAGAACTACTATGAGATCCTCGGAGTGGACAAGGATGTTTCTGGTGGGTCGAAGGGAGGTCTTCCAGCCTGCACAGAGTTGACCGGGGGTGCAGATGCCCAGATCAAGAAGGCATACAAGAAGCTGGCGATCAAGCTTCACCCCGACAAGAACATTCATGACCCTCAGGCTCAGCAGAAGTTCGCCCTGCTCAACGAGGCATACACGGTAAGGATCATTCGCCTGGCCTGCAGGCTGCGCAGATGCAGGAGGATGACGACGGTCGACAGGTGCTTAGTGATCCTGAGAAGCGGAAAGAGTACGACGAGGGGATAGCAGAGCAGGACGTGGGGTGAGTTGGCACACTGGATGGGCTGAGGCTGTATCTGATGCCGACATGATAGCTGGGGATGGAACAAAGAAGCTGCGAAAGAGGCAGAGCCTGTTCGTGGTCACGATGCCCACTGACTGAGATGTATAGCGGGCAAGAAACTACAAATGGGATGGAGGAAACTTGTTCTTCAACGTTGGTGAGGGAGGGAGCAGAGCAGGGGAGATCTCCACGTCGAGTTTCTCAAGATCGAAATGCAGGAGAGCAGCTGAATCAGGCGAGACAGATGCAACGTGAAGCATGTGCGATGAGATGAATTGCTTTGCGCATTGTGAGTGAGAGGGACCTGACTTCATTCTCCAGCTCGGAGACAACTTGTGAACAAGTCAAGAGATTTTCTAAGTAATCTCATCTGATCTCCTCCTTCCTCTGTTTCGTCATTTGCATTCTACTTTGTGATTGAGCGGATACTCTTTCGTACTGATTACTCGTGTTTTGCTTGTCCTTTCCTTCCTTGCTCTCTGCAGAGTTTTGGGGGTCGGCGTTAGTACTCATGTCGTTCCTCGAGGGGATGATAGTGTTAACGGGTGAGCCGTCTCAGCTTTCACCTCCTCCCCTTTCCTCCTCCTCTTTCTCTACCTCCTCGCTTTGCTCTTATTGCTTCCTTGCTCGTCCTCCTGCCTTCTCCTAAGTGGACCTCAACTACTGAATCTTGCCTTCCATGCTGCGCAGCTTTGAATCATGGGATGCCGAAAATGTGTATAATCTGGGGGTCTGTTCTAGGAGGACTATTTCTAATCGGTTGATTCTCACTTGCGGCCTTGCTCCCTCCCTCTCCCTTTCTCTCCCTCCCTCTCCCTTTCTCTCCCTCCCTCTCCCTTTCTCTCCCTCCCTCTCCCTCTCCCTCTCCCTCTTTATCACCCTCTCCTTCACTCTCACTCTTAGTCATTGTTATTCTCCTTCTTCACCTCACTGGTGTTGTTTGACAGGAATTGTCATTTCAATCAAAACGGATGAGTGGGAGTTTCCTGCTGGGACATTAATAATAACGGCAAGTGTCGTTATTTGCAAGGAGTTTCCTCTCCCCACTCCTTCATATCTCCTCTATGTTCTCCCAGCTTCTGATATTCGCATGTCTTTGCTTCTCCCTCTCTCTTATCCTCCCCTCATTCATTGTCTTCTTAAACTCATCCTTCAGGTCGCGTTTTTCTCTATCCTGGGATCTTTCTTTCCAGCCGATCTCTTCGTTCAATCTTCTTTCTACCTCAAGCACACAGAACTGCTCATCGACCCTGCTCCCTCTCGTCTTCCAAAGGCTCACCTTGGAATCTATGGATTTCTTGACGGTCTTTTCCTCGCCCCTTCACTACCCTTTTTTAACCGCCATTCTTCATGCTCACTGCTCCTCCGAGGCTCGCCTCAGCCAACCTCAGCCGCTTCCTTCCTTGCTGTTCTCCTCAATTGCGTTCTCAGGTACCATCGTCGATCACTCCAACACCGTCTCAGCAGATCGAGTATCCCCCTCTCACCCTGTTGTCTTTCTCCCTCTCCTCACTCCAATCCAGGACGGTCAGCAAGTGTGCGCAGCACCCATCGTCCCGGAGACCGCAGTGGGCACATCCTACTCGCTCAAGCAGGCACGCGAACTCTCCTGCTCCTTTGTCAGCTGCTCCTTACAGCGGCGTCCAGGTTGCCTACTGGGCGGTTGCGTCAGACTGCTGCTCGCCCGGGATAATCACGTGCGCGGGCTGGAAGGAGAAGTGGGAACAGGGAGTGAACTGGTATCTACAAGGTGGGACTCCTTCTCTTCCCTTCTCTTGTTCTTACTTTCCCTTTCCCCCGCCCTTTCCCCTTTCCCTCCCCCTTCACTTTCCTTCCGTCTCAACTTCCCTTCCGTTCTTCCTCCTCTTTCTCCTCGCTGATTCATCCTCTTACTCTGCTCCTCCCCTCCTCAACATCGGCGCTACACTCTTCTCCCCTCTTGTGGCAACAGGTCGGCCCAGCACTGTCTGGGTGCGGAGCGATTACGGCATCACTGAGGAGAGGCGAGGAGGACTCAACGTCTTGCTCCTCTCACTCTGTCGCAGCATCTACAGCACCATCGCTACAGTCTCCGGTGGCACAGAGGTCCTCTCCAACGTCCCCTCTCCCCCCACCAAATCCCCCCTCGCGCCACCCACGCGGCGTACGAGCGCGCCTCGTGTTCCTTACTCTCCTCCCTGCTCTAGGTTGTCTCTCCGGTTGCGCTGGTTTGGACCAAGAACGCTGCCGACAAGATCCGGCGCATGTACGAGGTCTCTTGCTCACCTGCTACCTTGACAAGCCATGGCTGAGACGATCCTCCAGGTCCCAGCATGGATCTGGCTTGTGTGCGTCACATGCCTGTGGCCTCTCCTCACTCTCCTCGGATGGGCGATCCTGTCGCTGGGGGCGTGCTTCTGCCAGGAGAGGTTTCTTCCCCTTCCTCTATCTTACTTCAGTTCTGTCCCTCCGCTTCTGCTGCTGAACTTTCTGTCCGACTCCACGTAGATTGCGATGCTTTCAGCCCTGGCATATCTTCTTCCTTCACGTCGGGGCCGGATGTCCCAGGTATTCCCTCAAGTCTGCTTCTTCCTCAGTTGCACCGGGCGGCCCGGTCGGAGCCCGGCCCCCGGCGCTGCTGACTTGCTGTGGCAGCTGTTGGTCGGACCTCAACATCATCGAGGATTGACCACGAGGCTCGGCGGAACTTGGAATGTCTCAGTCGCCAGTATCAAGTTTATATGCGCGTGATTGAACTTAAACCTGAACTGGAGACTTGGATGGCTTCCGAAGTTCCGCAGGCTGGCCGCAGTCAGAGTACCGTCTAGTATGCCGCCGCGACTCGACGTAAAGTTGACAACCTGACTCGCTTGGGCCGTCCGCGACAGCGTGACGGAGTAAGCTTGCCCTCACTCGCCGCCGAACAAGTGCCACGTGACTCAGGGCCCCGCGAGCCGCCTGACTCGGACTCCGAGCCTCGAGACTCGTCTTGTCGCGGCTCAGTGAGTTACTGAGCATCATCGGAAGCGCCGGAAGCTCGCCGGGTTCCATAATTGTCGAATGCCCGGCCGCTATGTTCTTTATCGGGCCCGCCCCAAGTATCAATATAATTGAGAGATGGCGGCAGCACTGATCTGATGTTAACACCAGAAGGCCTCTAAAAGGCCAACAAACTTGTTTTTAAAATATGTTGTGGAATTTATTCCTAAAATGTTTTCTTCCTGCTTTCGTACTGGATCTGCCTGTATATCCAGATCGTAACGTACCAGGAATAATCACTTTTAAATAAAAAGGCTTTGGCAGGGGTTGTTTCCACTGGCGTCAAGGTGGTTCTTGACAGGTAGAGATACGAGGCTCAGGGGCTTATAAGATAGGATACCAAAAATATACTTTTCATTCTTTCCACCTGCAAGCAGCTGACAACCATTGATGATCACGGACGCCACCTTCGCATTAAACTGACTCCCTTTCCTTTCTTTTTATCTTTATAGAACACATTTACAAATCCAAAGAATAATTTATGTTTAAATGTATTTTGAATTGACCGATCATGGAAGAGGTTTCACTGTAGTAAACCTATATCCGCGCAGCATAAAAAGGGGGTGAGGTGGGTAGATCCACCGGTACTGCAGCACATCTAAGGTGGAGTTATCTCAGTCATATGGGCCATGTGGTTTTACTATTCTCAAAGTCACTATGAATATTTCAAAGTTTTAGTGAAATATTTCATATTCTATCCCCAAACTTATAACAGGTTTGGAATTTATAGCCCTCTTCTACGTTCCATAGGGGTGATCTGAAGCAGTTCAGGGGGTGGGGTGCTGTGGACTTGCCATCGAGTTTACTCGATAGGGTGGGTTTTACAATAGGGGGTAGTGGGTATCACCGGTGGATGCCTGACTCTTTTTCGAAGGCAACCAAGAAGAGGAAATAGGGGGTAGTACACGTCAGTAGAGGGTCCATCGGGTTGGGGTAGGTAGACAGCCTGAGTTTACTGTCTACCCGGCAATGCTTGCTGCGATGCGACGCCTTGTGAGGAGCGGACAGAGCCAGCAAGCTTGAGAGGAGCTCTAAGTTTGAGAGGAGCTGTATTGAGAAGAGCCGTCTGAGAGGACAGCCGGGGTGAAAGCTCGAGATCATTGGAGTCTCTTGCAATAAGAACGATTAGTTAGCTCCCCCCCTCACAGATTTGTTACCATTCCCTCCCAAATTTCTGAAGCAGGCAACATGGGTGCTGGGCGTAGGTACTACGAGATGGATCAGATCATAAGCTCCAGGCTTATGCGAAGCCGAGGTAGGACAAGGAGCAGCAACAACTTGAGTCATGTCCCCCGCTCTGATTTGGGAGCTCCGATCCAAATCCCATATTACGGTGAACCTTCCTGCCATCGAGTGCAGCCGGGGGGCGCAGTCTTGGTAGCAAACCTCTCTACTGGCAAGGTGGTTGGCTGCAGTAAGAACGTGGATCGCATCATCAACCGGGCTGTCAATGACATTCTCGGGAAAACTTGGTCCGAGCTAATCTTGGACTCGAATCTGCCCTGGCCGGAGTTGCAAGCGAAGAAAGACTCGATGTCTACAGGCACCTTCAACGTGACTTTCAAGGGCGGCGTGGAATCGTACATTCACTTCGTGTACGAGAACGACCACGTCATCCTTGACATCGAGCCCCGAGAAGAAGAGTCTCCGATTGAGTTGACGATCAGCTTTCGGGAAACCATTGAAAACGTGTTCGCCGAGCGCGATCTCAAGAGCCTCTACAGCACTGTTGTCTCAACGATGCGTTCTATCTTGGGCTACGAGCGCATTGTGCTGTACAAACTCTCTACCTCTGAAAGTGAGTATGGTTTCCTCATCCCTGTCGCAGAGGACAAGGCTTCGTCCGTCCAAGACTCCACGTTCCTGTTCCAGAGTGCCAGCAAGCAGTTGCTCCAAGTGTGCGGCTTTAAGAATCTCTGCATCGATCGTGATCTCAACGCTGACTACGAGCCCATGTGCTTCGTGAAGGAAGCCCTGGGCCCATTGAGCAAATCGCAGATTTCTATCCTCAAGTCTAGCTACCTGGCAACTGATCCTTTCACCAAGGAATATTTCCTCTCGATGGGCATCAGGTCGTTCTTTGTGATGTCCATCAGGACCAAGAGAGTTGGGGATTGGGGCCTCATGATCGGATATAACTATTCGCAACCTAAGCACATGTCGATCAATGACCGAGTTGTGTGCGACTTCGTGAGCCAGGCTTTCTTCTCCAAGCTGGACTCCTTGATGGAGGTGAAGCGGCAGGCAAGGTTGTCAAAGCTACTCAACATCCATGGAGATTTGCTGGACTTGATGCAGAACCTTGAAGGAGTGGACACGCTCAAGGGGCTGGTGGCATCTCAGGAGACTTCCCTCCTCTCCGTGGTCCCCCACACCTCAGGAGGAGCTGTTGTCATGCCAAGCGGCGAGGTCCACACCATCGGAAGGACTCCGGATGTGAACTTCATCAAGGCGCTCGTGGATGAGATTTACAGCGACAGTGACAGGAAGCTTTCGAGCAGCAGGGATGTGCGCGACATCATTTCGGGGTATGATTGTGATCCCTTGTGCGCATGTGGAATGCTCTGCCTTCCCCTCAAGATGGGAGGCGAGCTGCTCTGGTTTAGACAGATCGAGCATGACAAGTCCGCTGAGGCGGGCTGCCGTGACTGGTCTCAGAGCGACCTGGAGGATGTGCAGGATCTCGGGAAGTTTGTCAACGACATCTTGTCGTGGGCAACAGGGCAAGAGTTGACCCAAGACATGAGCATGAGAATTCATGAGCAGCGGGTGAAGAGCAGAACTGAAAGCTTTCGTATGGCTACAGAGGTGATTTACGTGCAAGCATGATTTCCATCTCACATTTGTCCAGCTGTCTAACATCATCTCCGCTGCGAATGCTCCAATCTTCAGCATAGATCGTTCGGGTGTGATCATTCAGGTCTGTGCAGGATTGATCATGTCTGCTGTCTTTTCTGAGTTCACATGCTTGCAGTGGAACGCCAAGATGGAACAACTCTCCTCGTTGCGAAAGGAAGAAGCATGTGGAAAGGAGCTGAAGGAGTTCTGCCCTGCGTCGTTCCGAACTGTGTTGTCAAGCATCCTAGACGATACCAATGCAGGAATTGATACAGACCCTTTTCATCTTGAGATGTTCAGCAACAAGCAGAAGTCAGAGGTCTGCATGCAATTATGCTTCATCCTTTTGTTTTCTTGATTGTTCTCTCAGACCGTTCACCTCCTCCTGAACGCAAACGTGCTCAAGAAAGTCTGCGGCTTTGCAGCGTCTGTCACGTTTGTTGGTCAAGACATCACCGAGTCAGTGATTGTTCTTGAGAGATGCAAGGTTGGTCTGCACCGAATTCGTTCACCGAGAAAAGACTGATCTTTGGACTTTTCTCAGTCGGTAGCGGCTGAGTATGAGAGGTTGATCGCACAGTGTGCCGTCCCTGTGTTCTGCTGCACGAACGATGGCAAAGTGAATGAGTGGAACTCGAAGATGGCGGAGATTACCATGTTGAAGCGCGAGGAAGTGATCGGCAAGAGCCTTGTCGGGGAAATATTTGGCAACGACCTGGAAGTTTTCTCCAACGAGATGTGTCAAAAGGTGCGATGGACAACGGCGTTCCTTGCGTGTCTTGTGCTGACGTCATCCCTTGCAGCTCAACGAGCAACGAGTGAATGCGATGAAATTTTGTGAAGTCGCTTGCATCGACGTCATCTTCAAGAAGCGAAACAAGGGGGTTGTGAACCTGCTGGTCAGCGCCGGAGCTCGTCGCACCACCAACGACACAGTCGAGGGAGTGGTCTTCTTCGCGCAAGACGTGACCACGAGGCAAGAGAAGGAGCTCATGAAGAAGATCAAGTTGGCAGAAGAGGCGGCCAATGAGGTTCTTTGCTTGACACTCTCTCGCCTAGATGATAGGCTCACACGTCATGCAGGCAAAGATGGAGCAGCTGCAGTTCCTGTGCCATGAGATCAGAAACCCTCTGAATGGCATCATGGGCAACATCTCCTTCTTACAAGACACGGACATCGATGACGAGCAGTTCGCGCTGGTGGAAGGGACGTGGGAGAGAGCGAACCAGCTGCGGAAGATCATCGATGACATCTTGGACATCGCGAAGATCAACATGGGGTGAGAGAGGAGAAAGAGCAGGAGTGAAAGAACATAGGGTGAGGGAGAGAAAGAGCTTGCAAGAGAGGAGGGAGGGCTGTGATTAGAGGGGCTGCAGACGTTAAGGGCGCTCACTTGATGCTTGCAGAGGAGTAGAGCTTGAAGAGCTGACGTTTGACCTGCGCCTTCTCTTCGAAGCGCTTGGCTCACATTTCTCCGAGGAGAGCGACACCGTCTCCATCGACACCTCGAAGCTCCAGTTCTTCAACGTGGTCGGCGATCCCTTCCGCATCCAGCAGGTCTTGACCAAGATCATCTCCCACTCTCTCAATCACGAAGAGATCGAGAAAATTCGTGTGGAGGCCAGGACTGGCTCCGAGACGTTTGTGGACAGCAAGGGCCGCGTCTGCTTCAACTGCAGCATGTTGGTCATTGACGATGGCCCTGGTATGGACTCGGAGCAGCTGAAGATGATCTTTGGCAATCACAATAACTCGAACAACCTCGTGGACGGAGAGTGAGTGCAGACTAACTCTCGCTGCTTTCTCCCTTGCTCGTTTACCTTCCTCCCTTTCTTCTCCCGCGTCAGCTCAGCTTGCCTCTGACATTTCTACCAGTGTGGAGCTTCTTAAGGACGGAGCTCTGGGGTTGAGCGTTTGCAAAAAGCTCGCGCTCCTGATGGGAGGTGACATTCAGTGCGAGTCTGAAGTTGGGAAGGTGAGATGATCGTCCTGTCTTTGGGGGCAAGGAAGGAGGAGGAAGAAAAGAGGAGGAAGGGGAGATGGGAAGTGAGGGCTAGGGGATAGCAGACATTGGAGACCTGACTTGCTACCAGGGTACAACATTCAACTTCCAGCTTCCTTTGCGGGTCAGCAATGTGAACGAAGACGATGTCCACGACTTCTTCTCATCGCTCCGAAACAGCAAGGGAAGGCCTAGAGGTCGACCCTCTCAGCGTTTGCCCAGGAACAGCTCTGCAACCAACTTGACATCGACGGACAGCAACTCCCCCATTCGCCCGATCTCCCCGAGGAGGGGCAAGGTCACCTCACAGTCCACCCCGCTCCTCCTCACCAGCAAGATTGAGTCGGACGCTGAGCCTGCTGTTGTTGAGCAGCCCAAGAAGGCTCCAGTCACAGAGCTCGAGCTCAAGCGGCATCAGAAGAGCCTCTCTCCTCCTCGGCGTCTCGACGAGGAGACTAGCCCACGGTCCCTGGTGCAGAGCAAAAGATCGAGGAGGAATACGGGGGAGGATGTGGGTGTGTCGCAGGAGAGGGGAACGTCAGAGTGGGACGTCGAGGGCGTTGCTGAGGGGAAGTGGAACTTCACTGTAGTGCGCGAGATCATCAAATCGAATCAAGTTGCGGTGCTGGGATGCGTAGAAGTTGAGGGTGTGACGCGACAAGCTTGGGGCTGCGCGTCAGTGGAGGAGTTTTGACACCTCTGGCAACGATTTCAAAGCGTTCAACAATCTTTTCAATGAAATGCTGTTGTGACAAAGTTATCCGACCCTGATCGTCATTCTGTTCTATTTTAATGCCCAAGAAGGTACCTGTTGCCTCACTCCCCGAAAAGTCGAATACTGTGTTGAGCTTCTCAAGAAACTCAATCTTAACTGCTTCAGTTTGAGAGACAATGAGTAAGTCATCCACGAAGACAGTCAGAAGCAAGACGTCCCCCGCACAGTTGGAGTATCGGTAGATGATCTCATCATGTCCTATCCCACTTGCTCCCACCGTCTTCAACACCTGCGTGAACTTAAGATACCATCTCCTTGGTGCAATGCGAAGTCCATAGAGCGACTTCAAGACTTTGAGGAGGCACTCAGGAGGAAGACTCATGATATCTGGAGGAATCAAATACACAGGAACCTCCAAGTCACCATACAAGAAAGCAGCAGAGATATCCCTGAATGTGATTCTCCAACGGTTGCCTGCCGCGATGCTCAGCAAGAGCCGGATATTGTCCAACGATGTAGTCGGTGCAAACAATTCTTCAGATGAAGGAAGTAAGTTGCCCATGATAACTAGCCGCCCCTTTCGTTTCAAGATCTTGCCCTTCAAGTCTCGTTTTGAAGCATACACCCACAAGGCGCGAGCAAGGACGGAATGATTTGACTCCCTGTTTTTCTGATCACGCGTAACAACTTCCCAGACCCCACGACTTTCGATCTTCGCAATTTCCTCCTTTTCAGCCTGCTCCCAAAGATGCCGATCCGGACGACGTAACATCTCTGACCTTGTCTTGGGATCTGGTAACTTGTCAAAACTACTTTCGTTCTCCACATTTCCTGCATCGCAAGCCGCTGTCATCACGTAATCTGCCTGATTCTCAGGCATTGCAGCTGGATTGTCACGGTCGGAAGACATCAGAGATAACAGGTCAGATGCCAGCTCCACCGCGTCCCATACGGGAGAGACCAACGCTAGATTCGCCACAAGAAGACGCGTATCCCTGAAAGTAGGGTCCACATTAGCACTGACCTGTGGGGCAGATGACACAGGATCGACATGCTGTAAACGAGTTTTGTACATCTCATCCCTCCATACTGGAACAAAACGCTGGGATGCTGGCTGAAGGCTTGTCCTGTCTTCCCCCCTGTCCCAAACATACAAGATCTCTTCAGATTCAGTCGACCCCTGCACAATATGTGTAACTTGCAGATACTGTGGAAATTTCTTGTGCTGGGAAAGTACAACCACTTCAGGCGAACCCCCAACTGTAGCTTCGACAACATCCATGATCTCATCCGCTGCACGATCAAGACAGGGTTTAAAAACCTTGGTATGGTCGGTCATATCACCAAAGACGTTCGGTGGAAAGCTGCACGAGTAATAATCTGCTAACATGCAGGCCTCTGATATTGTCTCCCCACTTGTAAGCACCACCATTGCCTTCTGTTCGGTTTGTTCCAAAAACTTGATGTCAGGATCAGTGACAGACCGTAACACCCAGTAATTGTCGAGAGTTGGGAAAACAATCCGCGCGAGAAACTTTCCCTCCTTGAAAACCATCTGCAAAATTTTGCCTTGCTCTACTTGACCATTTACAAGAACTTCGACATCTCGATTGACATATTTGCTTTCCAAGACCCCTCGCTCCGCCTTGAAATCCCTCCGTGTTCTTCTGCCTGCTGGAGGAACTGGAGACATTGCACCGTCAGGCATATATTCAGTATCATCCCCCAACCGATGCTCTCCCGAATCCGCTTGACCACTATTTTCGCCTGACCCCGAGGATCTCTTCTTGCCCACTGCAACTTCTCCGACAGCCTGCGGTTCATTCGGTACCATCGGTTCACTTGCCACAGTGATATTCACCACTGACACGTCTCCCTTCGCATCCATCGCGGGCGTCACGGTCGTAGTCGTCTTGCTTCTAGTTTTTAAGATGCGCCCCCAGTGGAATATTTCGTCGAGAGAAATCTTTTCTGGTCTCATATTACTCTTCTTCCAATTTCGCAATTCTCTATTCAATGCCAATGACTGCAACGATTCACAAGTCGATTCTTTACACCTGGCATGCAAGAGTTCAGCGATCTGGATCTCTAACGGCCCCATCCTTTGGTGTGCCCCCACAACACCTTGAATACTATCCTTGAGATTCTTAAACAGTAGCTTGATTTTGTCCACGTTCCTCCAGAAGGCTTCTTCAGACTCAAGTGGCTGTTTCGCTAGCGCTCTGAGCTGATCTCTCCCTTCGTCCTCAGTAAGCTCGATAAGCTCAGCTCCACTTCGTTGCTTTACATTCCAGCGTACCAGTGCCAAAGTTTTGAAGAATGCCAAAGGATAGTTGCCTCCTCCTGACATCTGCCACTCTATGTCGAAATCATCCTTTAGCTTCACTCGAAAATAACTGTTCGTGCTTACAAGTACCTCAGCAATATCTTCAAATAAGACTTCCACCTCCTGTCGATCAGCTGAGGATCTGAACAACCTCGGTGATATCTGGTACTTGTGTGGAGAGAAAACCACAGATGTATCGAGTGGATTACCCATCTCTCCATCCTCTGAAGCACCATCAATCACATCCTCGCTGGCTGCGATTGCCTCCTCGAATTTTCCTCGCAACTTCTTAAACTTCTCAAGAGCATCCTTGAATTTCTTCCCATTCTTCCAAATGTACCCTGCATGCAGAAACAACGCCGTGACCTGAATCTTCCACTCCAGCGAAGAGAATTTTTCTAGACCTTCTGGAGACGACTCCCACATTTCATGAAATTCTCCAACAAACGATCCAGTCTCGTCAATCGGAAACAAGTCCAACAGTTTTAAGAAACAAGCCCCAAGATTCGGACGAAAACGACTCATGGCACCTGAGAAAGGAAGGAACAGGTCCTCGAGTTTTTCCTTGGAGGTAACCTTCCCATGCTTCAGCTTGTCGACCTGAACATCACCATGGCTTCGTTTCAACTCCTCTTGCAGATCTGGCATGCTCATGATCGTCAACTTGGAGTTACCAATACCGTTCCAAAAAAAAATGAGTAACAGCGTACAGTACAACAACCAGGAGCCTTAAAGAGCCTTCAAACTCGTTGTCAATTCGACGCACAAAGACCAAGAGCCCTTTAACTCGTTGTCCTTGGAATCTTATCGTAGAGTCTTTTTGTATTCCTTTGTTCGTGAATACAAAAAGAAAATTTTCTTTTTGTATTGGAATCAATTCCTGACTCCTAGAGTCTGTGCACAGATGAATGACTAGTAGAACAGCTCAACAGCTGACTGATAAGTCCAAAGACCAAGACTCACAGATGATGTGCGCACGAAGACACCAATGACTTTCACAGCCAACCAAACACCTCAGATAACTCAGATCAACTTCCCAACAATCCCCAGCACTTTATTCCCAACACTCGTAGCAGCAAGACCAACCAAACAGCTTCCCTTCACACACCACCGCCTTACTTCCACCACTGTACGAGTGCTGCCTCTTCGACAGCCGGCGCCTCTTGATTCCTCCGGCGTCGCCTCAGCTTCCCCAGGCTCCAACCAACCGGATCTTCTAAGTCACAGACTAAGCTCCAGCCCACTAGCTTGGACCTGCAGGCTTCACTTGGTTCACAACCTGATTAGACGCATCCCTTGAACTTATCGCGTCTGAAAGAACTTCTGAGAGGTTTGTCAGAACCTGAGTTCTTACACAAGTTAGTCAGGCCTGCGGGTCCGGTCCGTGTCGGGCCGGGCCCGAACGGCGGGGGACCTGACTGCCGGCTTGCCATGATTAGACTCTGAAGATTTATCACTACCGATGGCACTCCGATCGGCGACTAGATCATCCGACGTTACATGAACCGTTACTCTTGGATTTTTAGTAGACCGTCTGTAAAAACTTAAAAACTTTAAAATGAAAATTTTATCCCCCTACCCACTACCCCACCCCTCTAAGTTCAATACTCCTCTTTCGGTCCAAGTACCCATATCAGTTACCAACGAACAGCACACCAATTAGGTAGGGTAGTATTTTGTACCGTGGTGGGTAGTCAAGTACGTACGCGCCATGGCCCTGACCATGAGGCCTTTGCGAAGAGATGCGGAGTGGCGCGGGGGAGAGGAGGAGGTTGAAGAAGAATGAACGAAGATAACAAGATAGGCAAGCAAGTCACGAAAGACTGCTGAGGATGAAACAGATGTCAAGAATTGGGTAATGGAGCTAGAGGATAAGAGTCAGTGGATGATGGCAGTGACGAGTCGTGGGGTCGCAGAGGCATGCTTGCATAAGATTCAATCATCATGAGGGAAAAGCGCTTTCCGAAAATGATGTATGGAACGTGTACTGTTTATCCTCTCGTGATAGAGCATTCGATATGTTTGAGCGCCATAGAATCCGGTTTTCACTGGAACGATGCAATCAATGAGTCACATCTGATATCTTAGTACGGCCTGCTTCCCTCATTGTTTTGATGCTTCAAGGAGATCCGTTCTTTTTTCCATCTCCATTGCTTGATTGTTGATATCGTATTTCAATCGATATTCGAGCTCTCACATGCTTGGCAGGCTTTGTCATGAAGTCCAGCAGGTCATGGAGCGGCACTGACGACGAAGCCGGACCATCCAGCTTTAGCGCGTCATACATGCCAAGGATGGATGAGGATGACGGCAAGAAGAGTGGTCTTCGTACGAGAACCTTGTCAGATGCTGACTCGCCCTGCATGCCGGAGGGTCAAGATGGCCTGGCTCGCATGTACGTCCTCGACAAGCTCACCTCGCTGGGTCCTCGGCCTGCGATGAACCCGCTGGGGCAGAAGCTCGGGGCGGCAACCAAGCCTCTCGGAAAGTTCGATCCTCACTCAGGGAAGTGGTTCAGGTCGTTCGCCATTGACAGCAGCGTCGTTGGCGAGCTGAGCCTCCAGGAGGTTGTCGAGCTGTTCTCGTGCGAGCACCTGCGCTACCGGCCGGAGGGTCACACTGGAGTTGTCCTCAACCTGGTCTTGAATGAGTTCAACGTGATGTGCATCGGCGACACCCACGTCCAAGTGGATGAGCTGTACAACGACGCCATGTTGAAGCTCCAGGAGAGAATGGACAAGATGCAGGGAGGGAAACTCCCCTCGCAGGCATGTTCCGAGGGCCCAGTGATGGATTCCGTCGCCGGGATCTCCCTCATCAGGAATGAGGGAAAACAGTCTCTGGAGGATCGTCAAGTGCAGTTCAACGAGACTGCAGGAGTTTCTCTCCTCAGTGCTGGTGAGGAGCGGTCCAGTTTCTCAACTTGATGATGATGATGTTTTCTTGCAGTCGATCAGGCAGACTCGAAACCCCTGAGAGCTACTGGTAGCATCGCAGGGATGACCTTGTTCGCCGAGACGGTCGAGGACGAGGAGTCCGACGCTCTCAACAGCGCAGACGTGTCCAACCTCATCCAGTCTGTGCGTCAAAAGTGTGCTTCGTTCACCAAGTACCTTCAAAGCTTCGACAGCGCAGTCAACGTAGTGAACAACATGTCTTTGCCCTCCGCTGATCTGACCCGGATGCGACAGGATGAAACATGCATCGAGTCCTGCGGTATGACTCTTTTCAAAATGGAGGAGGACACGTTCGTGCAGGTTTGTGTCAACACATTGAGACGGCGTATGTGACAGTGTTGAAGGAGCCGGTGGAAGTTGCAGAGGATTTGCATGCCGTGTCAAGCTGCGGGATCACTCTTTTCCAGTCGCCGTCGGCCAACATGAGCAGCAACGTTGTTGCTGTCGACAGCCAAGCTGGCATGACTCTCTTCTGCCGAGAGAGCTTTCAGGTTGCGACTAGGATTTCTTGCAAGTCATGCTGACTGTCTTGTCAGCATTCCATGAAGGCTCTGGGGCATGCGGATACAGCTTGCGGCATGACTCTGTTTGCACCCGAAGTCTGATGGGATCAGACTAAGTTCTGTTCATCATAACCTCCCTTTTTTCGACTCCTGTGTTCCCTGTAACAACTCTGACACACTACGGCTGCGATGCCTTCAGCTTCTTTTATTGCAAGCTTCAAGAGACTCAATAAATCGCGCGTCAACGTTTACTTGCCGTTGTTCTTCTGGATCCAAGCAGCGACGTGAAGGGCCCAGGAGTAGGGGAGGAACAAGGAGCCAGCGATGTAGAGAGGGTTGGGGTCAGCAGTGAGGGGGACGCACTGCAGAGAACAGTGAGCACGTGACAAATCATGTTGTAGGCAGCGTCAGTCACCTGGCTGGTGCAGAAGCCTCCAACGAGAGCAGCAACGACGGAGGCGGAGGCAAAGGAGCCGGAAGGAAGGTTCTTGCCGATGCCGAGAACCTGCCATGCCCATCAGCAGCTGCCTCCATCCTCCTCCGAGAGCCTGACCTCGCTGCTGGGAGCCTTGGTCTCCCAGTAGGTCTCCTTGGTTCCCTCGGGGGAGGGAACGGGGGAGTAGCTCATCACAGTGCGCTGGGAGACCGCAGCGCGTCCGGAGGCGCGGAGGGGGAGACTGCGAGAGAAGGTGTAAGACAAAGTAAGTCCAGACAGACGAAAGGAGTGGTATAAAGGAAGGGTGCGTTCATCGAGTCCACACAAGCGAGATGTACAAAGGTCCTCGACACCAGTGCTGGGGATGTAAACATTCGAAATTCTTGCAACATAACATCGATCACAACAAAGAAGAATAAGAAGCAACATGAAAAGAGGAGCCAACGTCAGGACAGACTAGGTGTCAGCCGACTTTCACAGTGAGTTCTAACATGTGAGGTAAAAATGGCCCGAGATGACTCTCATGAAGAGAAAGCCAGCGCGTCAATCGGAACGACACATGAACAAACAATATCTTCGATTGACAAGGGCTACAACCTTGTCAACGGTGTTCACACACGAGGAGCAAACCCCTCATGGCACGAGAGAGATTAGCCCACAACGTTCAGCATCGACCAAACACAGACAGAGCAGAGGAGATCGACAAGAAGGGATGGGACAGGAAGGAAGAAGGAGGACAGGTTTGTGATGTACTCACGTAGGGGCGGAGAAGGCGGAGGCGGAGGCGACGAGCGCAAGGAGGAGGCAAGAGCGGAGAAGCTGCATGGCTGCTGTTTTTTCCAGACTGTGACGCCTTATTTTTGAACACTGGGGTGGGGTCAGGACCACTGGGTTGGGGTTGTGAAGAACGGGTCTAGTCCTTTTCGACTAGGTAGGGGTACTTGATACAGTGGGGTGGTGTACACGATGGGTGGTCATTAGCTGCTCGAAACGGAGAACCGAGCTGGGTAGGTGATTTCCAAAAGTGAAATTGAGGGGTGGGGTCATTGAAAGTACGGGGCTCTACATCTCTCAAGTAAAGATCAATGGAGGGGTATGCAAACGAAGTGAGACTTTGTGGGTGGGTAGTGGATGGGTAGTTGCTGTAAGGATGGACGAATGGGGGGTAGGGTGGTTTTGCGTGATTGATCCTCTGGTAGGGTGAGTGTGAATGAGGGTAGGGGTAACGGCCTCATTGGAGTGAGGGTGGGTAGGTCAACCCGAATGGTAGGGTGGTGAAGTGAAGGAGAGGCACCGGTGGTTGTGAGCCTGCACAGGAGGTGGGGTGATTGCAGTATTACTTTTATTAGTTAATTACTAGATCCGCCAGTGGAGGGGTACTTGAATTATTAAAATGGGGGTAGTAGGGGTCAGAGTGGGTGGGTCGATGTCACAAAGAATGAGAGTACCCACATCCCCTCTCGGACCGGGGACCCGCCGGGTCGCATCAGCCGGGACCCGGCAGGCTCGGGGCCGCGCCGCCTCCGATTGGCTATGACCGCCGTACCTGTCACTAAAATTTTGTTCGAGTCCGCGACCGTACTAACGGCGGAACCGTCCGGGCCGTATACAGTGATCGGCCCTCCCAGGAGGCCGGGATGCTTTACAAACTTGAAACTGCTGCTTCGGAATCGCGGTACTGTCAGTGTGGCATGATTGATTCCAGTGTTGAAATGCGGGTCATGCCGCCGCCGCCAAGCATGATCATCATGATACCAGGCTGACTATGATCTGAGCATCACCGGGCCCAGTGACTGCGGCGGCCGCGGGCCCGTCAAGTTGAAGGCCAGTGCCACTCACTAAGGCTCAATTGTGATTTCGGTCGGGCTGTTGGCAATGACGTGCAAGAGAAGGAATAGAGAGTTTAGGTACTCAGAAGAGCGAGGGAGATAGAGAGGGAGAAGGAACGGGGAACTTAGGAAAATCATATGGAAGTAGCCGCTCAGTGGCCGGGGAGATTCTCTCCCGTCATCTGGTTCCTCTGCACCATGACAGCGACTCGTTGCTTTACCAATATTCGATGGGAACAGTCTGACCAGTCCTTAGCGCCTGTTCACTCGGCGTCAGTGCACTTTGATCGCCGCGGAGCCTTGAAGGAGGAGGAGGACAGGATTGGTGAAGGGGATCAGACTAAGGAAGCTTCACCTTAGTGCATGCCTGGGCAATACGGAGACAGTCAACCTGAATCATCTCAAGTGTCAAAAATTCCGAGTCTGCACAACATCGTGTCGTACCACATTCTGCTCGATCAGTTGCGGGCGAACTCTCGATGCGATCGCCTGAAATCTGCGTGAAAAAACTAGAGGCGTACGCGAGACTAGGACGGGGAGCATGTGAAAGGTGAGGTCAACAGATACAAACGAGGGGGGAAGAAAAGCGCCTGTTCACCTTGGCTCCAGAGGACGCAGCGTACATTTGCTCCAGCGCGTCTGCTCTCGCAGCTTCGTATTCCTGTGGATGAGATGAGCCATGCGTGGAAAGTTAGAGGAGACTGAATCCATGCCTGAGTGAAGCGAAGAACTTTAGACTCTTGATGTTTATCTGCGGTCACGAGAGTGTCAGGAAGACGAGAAGCGGGTTGGAGGTCTCACCCTGCGTTATCTCGTGCTGAAAGACATGCATGTGATCGACTCTCCTCATCTCGACCAATCTAGTTGGCAACTGATCAGACGTCAAACAACATAATTGGATAAAAACCTTTCTCCTGACAGTGAAAAGCTCTGAGTATCAACGGATTCCAATCCAAGTGCCGTGAAAATTGTGTAAACACATCCGTTGGGATACAACACGGTGATTTCAGCTTTGTGCTCCTAAGCAATTACCATCAGCATCGAGTCAAATAATCTCGCCCTAATTTTTATAGACAAAGACATTCGAACGATTCTTTTGACACACGAAAAAATCCGGCAAGCAGTTTCTCTCACCTTCCCAGAGACGAGGCACGATGAAACCTCCGTGGGCCTCATACACCTGGTGAGCGTCAAGTCAGAGAAACAAGAGACAACAATTAACAGATGTACATGCAGAAATTAACGGCAAAACAATCATGCAAGATGGTATCGATAAACATGGCCTCGACCTGCAACAATCAAAACGATCACTCAAGGGATTTCAAGGCGGAATCATTACCGAAGGATCCGATGGATTGATCTTCTTATCAAGCAGAGGATGCTTATATCCGTCTGCAACGAAGTTTAAGAAGGTGAAAGGATGACAGGCTGGGAAGGAGGGAAAAGGCGGGAAGGACGGGAATAAACCGGGAGAAGGAGAAATCAAGGAGGGAGTTAGCCATACCAGGAATGACGCGTTCGCAGACAATCTTGGAAGCAGAGGAGAACAAAGACATCACGACAGCAGAGAAAGATTTGCCAGGTCTGTTCACTTTCGGGTTGAGAATCCAATCATCCATACGGTGACCGTCACCTTCCAGGAAGTAGTGTCATCAGCACTTGCTTCTGTCGCCGTCCAAGTGCAAATCTTGCAGTTCGGTGTCAACAAGAGTAATCAGCGTTGCTGCCACAGACTCACAGCTCTCTTGCAGAATCAATCGTCATGGCAATCGGTCTGTCGCAGAGGACATCCTTGTGCGCTTTCAAAGCTTCGCTGTGAGCGCTTCAATCACACTTCGAATCTTGCCTTAATTTTTATCTGATTCACCTTGCACGTCTTGGACGATCAACGACAGGACCGCTGATAATCACTGCAAGAATAACATTCAGAAGATCTCTGGAGGCATGATTACACCAGTATTCACCGATTCGAACACTCTTGTCATTTAAGACGTCCGTATATTGAGACGACGGAACAACCTAACATGTTGTCATTCGCAAGTAAAGAGCACTCTCTCTCACTCCACCTTTGCCTCTTTGATCTTCATCGATTCTAATGTTGCTTTTGCTTCCTTAATTCTGTGCATTCTGGATTCAGTCCTACTGTCGATGTCTTCACAATCCAGCAAGAAATCTCACAAGTTCTCATCGTCTTCAACTATCCATTTCATGGAGCATCCCTGATGTTTGCTTCAATATCTTCTTTGCCATGACATCGTGATCAGTGAGATAGCTTCACCTCATTTCTCACAATATCCAGAACTGCTCGCTTGCCCGTAAAACTGTTCGTGGCCTTGTTAGCTCCAAGATCTTGAGGAAACGCGAAGAATTCCACCTGAATCCCACAACAGCCACCCCATGGACGGGATGATCGGGCGTCTGAGTGAAGTTTATGAGAGAGGATGTTGTTATCACAATCACAGAGCGCGACCTCCGACAGAATGATGCTGGGTTCAGGCCGAAGAGGTTTCAATGTTGTCAGAACGTCTCCCGATCTATCGGGAAAGAATGAGAGGACAGCGGTATCACATGCATTTGTGGCAATTCATAGAGTCATATCAGTCTTTCGCACAAAAAATCTCATCCTTCGAGACAACATAAGGTAGTAATCCCGACGAGAAAAAGCGACGAGAAAAAGCAAGTACCTTGTGGTGTATGTCAGCGAGATCACGTCATCCGGGTTGAAGAATTGCAGCCCTGCAAACACATGTCAGCATGACCAAGCAGCATTCAGAGTTTTAGAAATTCTGCAGGTCACCGAAAAGATCCTTTCCATCGTTTGAGTCGATCGACATTTTTGACGTTCTGCAGACCACATCAGATGCGTGGGTTGGATCAGTGAAGGTTTCCGGGAGAAAGAGGGGAGATTAGCATGGTTCATGAGGCACTACTCGTAAGCTATTTGGGATGCTGCATCGAATGCATGCTTAGTCTGAACTCTTAGCTGAGCAGTTGAGCTATCCCTTCACCAATCATGAGAGATTATGCTTTCAACAAACTATCCCATCTTCCAACACCTGCTCCTCACCCTGTGCTCCGCAACTCCTGATTCCAGTGCACTTCATCCTGCAGACGTTGATCCCTCTTCTTTCATACTGGCTGCTCCTGCTCCTGCTGTCCCTCCCGCTGCTCCTCCACCCGGGAGTTGCGTCTTTCCCCATCCGCCCATTCTCTCAGTCGGGGAGCGAAAGGGGGGGTAGGGGTAATCCAGTACGGGTCTACTACGCGACAAAACTATGGAAAGGTACCGGGTGTTTGGTACATGCTTTGGGCTCTTTGTGCTGCTAAAGACCCTGGCCTCCGTTTCTCATCAGGGGGTACTCCCTGTATAAATTTTAAAGTGTTTTGTCACAAAGTTTCTATATTTCAAAATATTAGAGACATCATTCAACTTCTTTAACCCAATCTGAAACTGTGTGAAATTGCAAGCGGTGCAAGTTTGCAGCTGTTTTCCGAAAGAGGTTGCAAAGCTACACCCCGCCCCTGGGTCATTCCACCCCACCCCTATCATATCTCTACCCACCCCGACAGAGGTAAACCACCCACCCCCCTACCTAAATTCCTATGAGTCATACCCCCGCTATCTCCAAGATGCCTTGCCAGTCAGACGTCCCCTACCGGTACCTTTACCACCCCTCCTTCGAGCCGCTACGCCCTATTGACCACCCCAACCCAGCACCCCAACAGAAAACCTGCGAGAATGAGGGGGATGATTTTCGGCCCCGGGGCATTTCCGGCGGAAATGTGCCGCAGCACTGAAAGTTTACACCGTTACATAACGGTTATTGTAATGACATACAAGAGGGCAGAAGCCGGGGGAGCGTGAAGAACGTAACAGGGTCGGAGAGAGAGAGGGGGAGGAAGGGAGAGAGAGAGGGAGAGAGAGAGAGAGTAGAGAAAGACGAACACGAAGGAGACGAAAAACTCTCTCGATCTTGCGTTGGGTACCAAGAAGTTGCTCTCACGCCAACCCTCCCAAAAAGCTGGGACACAAGTTATGGCCAGTAGAATCGAGAAGTGCAGCCGCGGGCTCGTGATCGTAACTCTCCTCATCTGTACCCTAGAGAATTCCGAGGGCTTCCATCCAGCATTGGGACGACTACCTTGTCTGTCCCCTTTACATGGCAACTCCAGAAGACCCGAAGTCACTGGCTTCAGGAATACCGCGCCTCGCACAAGGAGGCGACAAACTGCCCCATCCACCGGTGAAGCACCGTTGAGCAGTGCGGAGGAAGAGGTTCCAGCGACCATGGAGAGAGCCATTCAGCGGTTCTTCCTTGGCAAAGACCATTCTCCAAGGATTCTGGTAGGGGCAGTTATGGCCATGGCGGTGTCCAGGGCGGCCATGGCACTCGTGCCGGGCGGGGAGACGTTTGACCATCTCGATCTCCTCGTGTTGGCGCTAGTTTGTCAGTTCTGGATGTTCCAGGAGTGGTGGCTGCACAAGTACCTGCTGCACTCGTTCAAGTGGTGGGGGCAGGAGTACCACCATCAGCATCACCTCCTCGACTACTATTACGTCTCCATCGACCCAGTGTGGCTGGTTGTGTCCTGGTTCCTAGCTGCCTTTGGCTTGTTCTACCTCCTCCTGCCTACGGATCTCTGCCTCTCTGCCACCTTCGCCTACTCCGCCATGGGACTCCTGTATGAGTTCTGCCACTACCTTGCGCACACCAAGGTCATGCCCAAGAACCGCCTTCTCCGCGCAATCAAGCTCCACCACATGAAACATCACTTCGTCGACGAGGACAGCTGGTTTGCGTTCTCCGGGTTGTACATCGACAGTCTTCTCAAGACCGCTCCGAGCGGTGAAGAGCTGGTGAAGATCCGGAATGCGAGGAGGAGGATGGACACGTAGTGGAGGATGTAGAATAGCAGGGTTCTTATTAATGTACACACGATGACGCGCTTGCTTTTTATCTCCTCGAGTAGTCGGTGATGGTGACTTTGATTCCTCGACGCTCTGCACGCCATGAGTTACATGCAGGCAAGCGGAGCTAGCGCTCGTTGCTGACCCAGCATCTCGACGTCCCCTGGCAGCACGTTGGAGCAGTACCGTAGGGATAGCTGCGGGTGTATGTGAGCAGAGGAGGAATGCAAGTCACAAGCACCTCCTTCAGAGATCTGCAAGCCTGCGCGAGGACCAGCACGTCCGTCCCGCTCATCTGCGGGGCAGGTGGGAAACAGAAGCTCTGGAAGAGATGGGGGGAGGGGGGGTCGCGTACGTTGCCGGAGAGAGTGAGGACCCGAAGATGCTGCGGCATCGCCTTGATGAGGAGCCTATGAAAGAACAAAACTGTCAGTGCTCGACGACCCCTGTCATCCACTATCACCTGAAGAGGGTCTCAACGCCGCTGCACCTGTCGGCGTGTAACGTGCGCAACATGCTAAACGACGGCGTTCTCCGCTTGCTCCCCGTTGCTCCTGGGTTGTTGACTTGCCCTTGCCAGCCCCTTGCATGGATCTTCAGCTCTTTCTTCGCCTCCCCGCCAGCATACCAGGAGGGGATCCCTTGTGACACCGCGCAGGTCTGCCGTCCCTGCCTGATCGCGAGCGCCGGCAGGTCGTCGATGCGAGCAGCATACTCGATCAATTCCCCCTTCGTCTTAAGGCTGGCAAAGCAGGAGGAGGAAGAGGAGGAGGAGGAAGAGGAGGAGGAGTTGGAGCGCTGCGCAGGATTACAGCACGATCACTGTAGAAGGCGCACACTCACGATGTGTGAGTCGGTGACGTTGAGCCAGGTGAGGAGGGGAAACCTGCAAAGGAGAGGTGAGAGGATGCGAGCAGAGGAGATGAGCAGAGAGACTGGTTGGCAAGATGTGAGATGAGAAAGGTTGCAGTGAAGACTGACATGGAGATAAGTCGCAAGATGTCGACGTTGAGAGTCAGGCCTGCTAAGTTGAGGACCCGAAGGGACTCGAAGCTCGTCGATCCTGCTCCTACCTCAGCCTGCAGCCCTGCTCGCAAAGCTCAGCCTCTGATCTGCCTCCTGCCACCATGACGTCACCAGGGACGGAGATATTGCTGCAGAAGGCCAAGGAGAGGACAGAAAGTCTTTCACCCTGACAAGTTTCACGTAGAGTAGAAGATGCTATGGGATGAAAGACCATCTTGTTTTCGATGAGCGTCTTCAGTCCAGTGTCGCTCACTTGTGACAACTTGACATCCTTCACATTGCCATCACTGCAATTACCTCTCCATTCAACTCATCATCATCATCGTCATCGTCATCGTCATCGTCATCGTCATCGTCGTCACCATCATCACCAGCAGCAACAAGAGCTGCTGCAGCCGAATATTCATCTTCATCGTGAGTGCAACCATCTCCCCATCACCGTGCATGGACATTACTTTCACGTGTTTCACAACACTTCACCAACTCAGTGAGAAATTCCATCTGTGCGAAAGTCTCGCACGATTTATCGGTGACTTTCTTACAGCCGTTGAGCCTCAAAACTCTCAAACGCGAACATCCTGTTCGCAGTCACCAGGTGGCACGTGATCAAAGTTCCTTCCACCCCTCCCGCTCGCCCCCTCCCCTCCTCCTCTTCCCAAGCCTCCCCTCCTCGCTCATGCAGACCTTGGCTGAGCATGCGGACAGCAGGGTCGTCGAAGTTCGTCGCTGAGATAAGGGTGAGCTCGTGAGGTTCTCCTTGCGAGGGGGTCCAGAGAGTAGTGGGAGGAGAGGGAGGAGGGGATAAAAGGGTGACAAACTACCACATAGCAGGATATTGCAAGAGGGGCAGCACAGGAGAAGAAGAAGGCGGAGCAAGCGACGAGACAGCATACCAGCCAGGTCCAAGGACGTCAAGTTCGTCGTCGCTTCAGCTAGCGCCATGGCAGTCGATGCCGTAGTGTACCATCCCACCTGCTTGTTCGTCAGTTCTGCCCGTCACTCCTTGGCCTTCAACCGCTCGGATTTCCTCCATCTGCAGCTTGCCGTTCCTCGTCTCGTTTGTGAGAGGCCCGCCATGTGCGAAGCGAGTCCGGGGGATTGAGACTGTCAGTTGCAGCATCATGATAGGAAACAAAGCGCAGAAGAAGGGAAGAGAAACGGAAGACTGTTGAGAAGCACTTGCCGTCAATGGACTTGAGCTGCGAGTTCTCGAAGAGAGATAAAATTCCCTGACGGACCCCAAGAGAGAGTGAGAACAAGGGGGAGAGATAGCGAAGGGAGGAGGGAGGAAGAGGAGGAGGGAATGCGAGGGAGGGGAGCAAGCGTTCAAGACTTGCCTCGAGCGTGCAAGGATCATGAAAATTCAAACCAGCTGCTCCGAGACGAGAGAGGAAGGGAAGTCCTAAGGCTGCAGCAAGCACGTCACTTCCTCCGGCCCTGAGCTTGCTACTGCGGTGAGACCATGCTCGATGGATCTCTGCGTCAGCCAGAGGTTGTGACTGATGGTAAGGGACTGCAAGCGAGAGCAATTCCTTGTGACCTGACCGAACGTCAGCTTGTCTTTGGCTGCTTAGAGCTCAGCACAATGCCGATGGACTCGTCAGACAGACGGCGACAGCTCTTACCCACATCAAGGACCTGTAGGAGAACAAGGAGCAAGCACGTGTAAGGCGAAAAGAACACGGAAGGGGAGGGAGCAGGAAGGAATGATGGAGATGATGAGCAGGTCAGCACGGGAGAAAATGGGAGGAACGTGAGCGATTAGCGGAGAGGAGAAAGGGGATGGTGATGGAGCGTACTTGCAGGGAGGTGAAGCGACAGAGGTGCTCAGTCAAGTGTACATCGTGGACGTTACAACCGCGCAGGCCCAGCTGAAGGAGAACAACTGAGCTCCCTCCTCTCTCTGTTGGCAGGCTCTCACCTGCAGAAGATTGTTCGATATTTTCTCCACCATGCCGCCGATACCGCAGACTGTTGTCCCTCTCAGGTCTATGCTCTGCTACTTTGTCATATTCTCTTGCCTTCTCTCCTTGTGATCCGTCCTCTAACACAATCAAATCATCATTATCATCGTCATCGTCATCGTCGTCATCGTCATCATCGTCATCGTCATCGTCATCATCGTGTAGTCGTTGTTGTTATCTTATCGCATCGCTCTCCTTACCGTCAACTTTCTTTGAGCTTTTCGCTGGCACAGAACATGAGGGTCTGTTTCCTTACATCGCAACCTCGAGGAAGTGTCATTGCCAGCCCTCTCTTTCCCCCCACTCACCCGAGAGACTGGAGACCCGAGCAAGACTTCACGACCTTCTTCAAACTCTTCTGCTCCGCTGCTGCTCCACACAGACAATCAGGCCCGGCAAGAGGCTGCCACGAGCTCACAGTCGCAGCTGAGAGCCTTGAGGCATGTGCGGAAGGCGAACTTGTTTATGTCCTACGAGCTCTCACAGTCATTACCTCCTTCAGCACTCGCTCAGCTGATACCTTTAGGATGAGAGTGCAAGCCTCATCGCACTTGGAGAGCTTCAGACTTTCTAAGTTGCAGCACTGAAGAGCAAGTGAGCCGATAGCTTGAAAGATTCTCACCACTCCCTCCCTCCCTCCCTCCCTCCCCTCCCTCCCTCCCTCCCTCCATTCCTCACTCCCTCACCTTTGCAAGCAGCCTCTTCGCCATCTCAATGTCATAGACATAAGAGAGCTCAACGTTCTGATTGTTCACAGATCATCATTTGATGTTTGCATGCAGCGCTAGGTTTTTCCACCTTGAATTGAGATAGCACAGCATCGCATTCCTTGTTCCAATGCTTGCAGACTTTCATAAGAAGTCAGGATGAACACTCCTGGTTCGCATGGATGATGGGGGAGGTGAGAGGAGAGGAGAGCAGGCTGAAAGAGAGGAGAACAGGATGAGAACTGTAAACACAGAACTGGCATGCATTGAACCCTCCAACCCTCACCACAAACCCAAACATTGCAGCTTCTAGATGAAGAGGTCGAAGGAAGGGGAAGCATGAGCACACAAGAGCAGCAGAGAGAAGTCAGAGCTAACGGCCATGCCCTCACCACATCTGAGCTGCAGGATGACATCAAAGGAAATCGCCTCGCAGACATGCAGGAAGATGTCGATCGGAAACAATCTGCCGGTGGAATCGACCATGTCGAGTCCCACTTGCTGAACTTGTTACAGCACCTCAAGCACAAACGATGCGTGAAGGCTGCATAAGGAAAGCGTCAGGTCATGAAGAGGCATCATGGTCTCAAGAAAGTTTGTTTCTGGTCTTTGAGGCATACACACAAGCCTCACAGATCATCTTCGGTTGAGTGATGGGAGGACGGGAGCAAAAGGCGCAGGATCGGTTGAAGGAGGAGCTGAAGTAGAAGGAGATGAAGTAGAAGGAGCTGAAGTAGAAGAAGATGAAGTAGAAGAAGATGAAGTAGAAGGAGCTGAAGTAGAAGGAGATGAAGTAGAAGGAGCTGAAGTAGAAGGAGATGAAGTAGAAGGAGATGAAGTAGAAGAAGATGAAGTAGAAGGAGATGAAGTAGAAGAAGATGAAGTAGAAGGAGCTGAAGTAGAAGGAGATGAAGTAGAAGGAGATGAAGTAGAAGGAGATGAAGTAGAAGAAGATGAAGTAGAAGGAGATGAAGTAGAAGGAGATGAAGTAGAAGGAGCTGAAGTAGAAGAAGATGAAGTAGCAGGAAATGAAGTAGAAGAAGATGAAGTAGAAGGAGATGAAGTAGAAGGAGCTGAAGTAGAAGGAGATGAAGTAGAAGAAGATGAAGTAGAAGGAGATGAAGTAGAAGGAGATGAAGTAGAAGGAGATGAAGTAGAAGGAGATGAAGTAGAAGAAGATGAAGTAGAAGAAGATGAAGTAGAAGGAGATGAAGTAGAAGAAGATGAAGTAGAAGGAGATGAAGTAGAAGGAGCTGAAGTAGAAGGAGAGAAGTAGAAGGAGAGAAGTAGAAGGAAGATGAAGTAGAAGGAGATGAAGTAGAGGAGCTGAAGTAGAAGGAGATGAAGTAGAAGAAGATGAAGTAGAAGGAGATGAAGTAGAAGAAGATGAAGTAGAAGGAGCTGAAGTAGAAGAAGATGAAGTAGAAGAAGATGAAGTAGAAGGAGATGAAGTAGAAGGAAATGAAGTAGAAGAAGATGAAGTAGAAGAAGATGAAGTAGAAGGAGCTGAAGTAGAAGGAGCTGAAGTAGAAGAAGATGAAGTAGAAGGAGCTGAAGTAGAAGGAGATGAAGTAGAAGGAGCTGAAGTAGAAGGAGCTGAAGTAGAAGAAGATGAAGTAGAAGGAAATGAAGTAGAAGGAGATAAAGTAGAAGGAGCTGAAGTAGAAGGAAATGAAGTAGAAGAAGATGAAGTAGAAGGAGCTGAAGTAGAAGGAGCTGAAGTAGAGGAAATGAAGTAGAAGGAGCTGAAGTAGAAGGAGCTGAAGTAGAAGGAGCTGAAGTAGAAGGAGCTGAAGTAGAAGGAGATGAAGTAGAAGGAGCTGAAGTAGAAGGAGCTGAAGTAGAAGGAGATGAAGTAGAAGGAGTGGGAGGAAGGAAGATGAAAGAGCAGGAGAAGCACAACACATTTTCGCCATGTACAAGCCTTCCTCCCCAGATCACGTTACAGATCTGAGTCATTCCAAGCTACAGATCTGATCTGAGTCAGGATCTGAGTCATTATTACAGGACTTGCCCGGCGCCGCTAGTTCAGTAACTGTTTAATTTATTGAAGAGTATGAAGAGTATTAGTTGGTTTAGACATCTGACAGTTCCTTGCCTGTTTGTACGATACATCTCCTTCTCCTGACATCTTCTCCTCCTGACATCTCCTTCTCTTGACATCTCCTTCTCCTGACATCTTCTCCTCCTGACATTTCCTTCTCTTGACATCTCCTTCTCTTGAAATCTCCTGCTCCTGACATCTCCTTCTCCTGACATCTCCTTCTCTTGACATCTCCTGCTCCTGACATCTCCTTCTCCTCAGGCTGACATCTCCTTCTCCTCCTCAGCGACATCTCCTCTTCCCCGTACGGCCCTCTGGCGGAGGCTCAGTGTCTTTCTGATGAATCAGTCCTCCTCCTCTGACTCCCTCTTCGAACTCGCATCTGATAGCTCCTTCCTCTCTGACTCTCCTCTCTGATCGTAACTCTTGGGCCCTACACTTGTGTTATGCCATGCAATGGCTGAGCCGTTAGGTCAAATTAGCAGAGACTCGAACGGAAGGCACGAGGAGAAGACAGCAAGGAAGAACAAGACGAAAAGGAGGAGAGGAGAGGAGAGGAGAGGAGAGGAGAGGAGAGGAGAGGAGAGGAGAGGAGAGGAGAGGAGAGGAGAGGAGAGGAGAGGAGAGGAGAGGAGAGGAGAGGAGAGGAGAGGAGAGGAGAGGAGAGGTGAGGTGAGGAGAGGAGAGGAGAGGTGAGGTGAGGTGAGGTGAGAAAGATGAGAAGTGAAGGCAGCAAAGCAGAATATTATAGGGAATCAGAGCAGGCAGGAAGTTAGACCTCCAGCTTCGTGACTGCAAGAGAGAAACATAGGGTAGACGCACATCAGGACAACCTTGAAGCCGAGAAGAAGGTGAATAGTGAGAGAAGGGCACAACAAGTATTAAAAATATCAGTGTATTATTGACCATCAACACTGTAAACAGTACATACATTCACAAGCACTAGTACACGATGTCACGAGTTGACATCTTTCAAGTCAAGCCGAGCCGATCGCCATGGAATACTGCGGTTGAGGAGCCACTCCCATCTGAAACTCGGGCGGAGGAACGAGCTGGACTGCCGGCGCACCCAAGGGAGCCTGCTGGGAGGAATGCTGGGAAGAAAACTGGGACGGGTACTGGCCTGGGTACGGCTGGTACTGGGGAGAAGCCGCCCGGGATGACTTGAAAGCGTTTGTGGGGCCATGGAACTCCATGACGTGATCGTAGTCCATCATCTCCAGGTGAGGCCTGTCGGTGGGAACGTGCTTGCCTCTGTACGGGGCAGGGGCATCCTCGTCATGGAATTCCAGCTGAGACTCCACCTGCAACTCGAGCTGAGAGATGACGAAGGGGTACATGATGAGGCAGGCGAAGAAGTCCTCGAAGGCTGACCCGTAGACCTTGTAAGCAAGCCTTGCTTGCAACCTCGTTGCGGTCAGATGAGCGGCGAAGAAAATGTACATGGTCCATCCCACGTAGGAAGCGTTGACGGTACCGACCTCTCCGATCATGCAGCCGATCCACGTGATGAAGAGCATGCCAGTCCCCGCCGTGTGCAACATCGCCACGTTGTTGTAGAACTTCTGATGGACCTTGTGGATGGAGATGAAGGGAGCGAAGGTGGAGATCACAAGAGATCTGATCCGCCTCTGCAGCCCTGGCTCGAGCTCACGCGGGATGCCTGCTGGTTGGAAGCCATCAGCCCAGTCGAAGAGCCCGACGATGAAGCGCGTCGACGAGTGAATGTCCTCCTCCATCATGTCGTACTTGCACGCTCTCAGCAACGCCGTGCACATGAGGCAGATGGCGATGGTGAGCGGGAGACCAGAGCAGATGGAGACGGCCCTCAGCGCTGTCAGAGCATCCGATCCTCCCGCATAGAGGATGGCAGTAGCACACGCTCCCTCTGTGACGGCCCAGTAGACGCGCTGAAGGACCGGAGGATGCGCCATACCTCCCGCCGAGAGTATGTCGTCGACGTAAGAGCCTGAATCAGACGAGGTCACGAAGTAGAGGACAACGCCAATGACGGAGATGAGCTTGAGATACGTTGCGATGCCTTTGCCGTACGGCTCCATGACATCGTAAAAGACATCGTCGGAGTTTCTGCAGGGGAGCGCGTAGTATCCAACTTCAGCAAGCTTCCTGGCGGCCTCAGACTGAGGCTGACCATTGCCTGCAAGCACGTGTCAACTTTTACCAAGTTGTCAAGGGACGAGACTTACTGTAGCCCATCGCTGTGCAGTTAATCATTCCCGTCCTCCAAATCTGCTGGTAGTCCGTGGTCTTTGGATCCAAGAGTGAAAGCTCGACCACTCTCTCCATCTTGATGCCGAGAGATCCCATGACGACCAAGAAGAAGAAGCTGTAGAAGACAGGAGCAGCGATCGCTCCCATGAAGATCTGACGCAAGGTCCTGCCTCGCGAGATGGTCGCCACGAACATGCCGACAAAGGGGGCCCATGAGATCCACCAGCCCCAGTAGAAGATGGTCCACGAGTTGATCCATGTGGAGCTATCTGACCCAAATGCAGTGGTGGGGTCGGTCATGGGGTGTCCGATGGCTTTTGTCACGGTATCATAGAGCTTGTTGGTACCTGAATCCCAGAGTTTGTTTTGTCCGTTGTTTCTGAACTCAAAGTTGAGCTGAGGCCAAGTGTCGCACTCGAACCCGACTTGCGTCACGTAAGTGATGTAGTAGCCCAGAGACTGCACGTAGGAGTTCAACAAGAACCAGGTGTCATCTGTCAATAGGAGCATCACGAGCAACAGGTTGCCGAGACCAAAAGCAATCAGGGAGAGGGCCTTGATTCCGTGGTTGAGCCCCGTGACGACCGAGACTGTAGCAATGAGGGTGATGATCCAAATAGTTGTGACTGTTGAAAGCATGAAGGCATCAGCGAATGGTGTAGTCGGCCTTTCAAATTCTCACCTTGCCAAACCCTAGCATTGTGCGAGCCGTCGTTAGAAGGGATGTTGCTGACGCAATCGATGCCTCCGCCGCAGTCCATTCTCCGAAGACCGTTGACCATGGTCATGACACCAAACCCGAGGGAGGTGCAGACACCAAAGGTGGTACAGGCCATGGCGATGGAGTCGATGATGTCGCCAACGAAGCCATCGATCACATGTCCTACGAGGGGGAAGAAAGCCTGACGCACTGCAACAACAACTTGTCACGACCACATGTTTCGCCACGAGGTCTAAAGGTTCTCACATGTCAACGGCCTATCCCATCGGAAGGCAACGAAGCCGAGGAGCATGGCGACGATGATGTAGCACGCCCACGCGTGGATGCCCCAATGGTAGAGGGTGATGAAGATCGCCTGCTGGGCTCGCTGGTCGTCGTTCATCCACCCGGGCTTGTACAAGACGTTGTAGTAAGAAGCTCTGTAGTAAGATAGGGGCTCTCGCACGCCATAGAAGTAGAAGCCAACGGCTATGCCACTGCAAAAGAGCATGACGAACCAAGAGAAGTCGCTGAACGCGGGCTTCTCATCATCCTTCCCGAGCTTGATCTTTCCGTACTTGGAGAAGGCGATGTACACCACGAAGACGCACCAAATATCTTGTGTGAAGATGTAAAACCACGTGAAGTTCTGTGTAATCCAAGTTTGCCACGTGCTGTTGAACTCAAGGAGAGCAACGTTGATTCCTTGTGCGTTGTCTTTCGCCGTGAGGACTACGACGATGAACACCCACAGAATCGCTGACGCCAGCAAGGAAACGACCCAGTTGAATCTCAGCAGTGGGAAGTTGCCGACATTGATCGACACCCATCGGCTGGGCCTCACGTACTGGAGCAGGTTCTCCTCCAGGTTGAAGTCCACGATGGGCTGAGTGTGCTTCTCGCGGGGGTTCAGGGGGATCACGGGCAGTTTCCCGCCCATCGCAGCGAGCGATTGCGGCTTCTGGTTGTCTTCTAGGTCGACAGCCATCCTTACCTGTCACCTCTTGCTTGGCAGGGGGGCAGGAGCAGTGCGGCCGTGGCGTCTTGCGCGACTCAAGTCGTGCTTGCTATGTCGCATGTGCCCAGTGTCCCTTTTATTCCCCATCTGTCACCCCCTCCTTCGCCCCCTCCCCACCCACCCCCTCAATCCCCCACAAGCTCGTATCTTTGCTGCTCTCCCTTGTTCCCACCAAGTTCTTTGGTATCGTGACCTCTACCCCTCCTTCTGAGGAGCCTCAGACCCCACCTTTCCAAGGGAAGCTACTCACTATCTGTTTCACTACCCTCCTTCAAACACCTTAGAACCCCTTCCATTTAGATAACATACACCCCTCGTTATGACCGTTGTAACTACCCCTGTCTCCTCCCTTCGCCGATCTCTAGAAAAGACCGTGCTGAGTCCCCCTCTCGCCTTGCAGCCCTTTTACTGCACACGATCCCTGCACCGAGCGGTGTAAATGCGAGATGAAACGTTGGGGTTTAGCACTTCTCTACTCGAAATGGATTAGTTTCGAGTCTACCATCCCCTTTGACCACTTTGACGACTACACTTTGACCAGCCAAGGTCAACCAATAGAGTACGGTACAAAGTTGAAACTCGGGGCCCGTGACCGGCGGCCTCGGACCGTGACGGTTAGGTACCGTACCGTGCCACACTACTGACAAAGGTTCCGAAGGACCGTACACTGAGGTCCGAGGCCGGTACTCAGTACGTTAGTTGAAAACTGAGTTTCAATCAACTTGACACGTGACACGCCGGTGTACTACTTGGACGGGTGCCGCTGTGCCGCCCGGCCGGGCGGCCGCCGCCGTGACGGTCACGGGGCTCATGCCACCGATAGTTCCGACGCGGCCAGCGGCCGCATGAAAATTTGACCGTTTTGAGCGGTCAAAAAGTCTACCGTACCGGCGTAATCGGATTACCGTGATTACGCGGCACGGCCCCCACGGTCCCGGCCGCCAGTGTCCTGGCACCGGGTACAGTACGGTATGCGGCACATGCCGCGGCCAGTGACTCAGTGATGAGTCCGTCGCCCGGCCGGCCTAGACGCCGGGTGCTCGCGCCACTGCGGCCAGGTACTTTGGCCTGGGCGTCACGATATTTTTTCAACTACTTCGGAAAATTGGCGCCGGCAAGATCAATCCAACAAATCATTGAATCCCGGAGTCCGATGATGGCCGGGCTGGGACTCCCGGGGGGCCGGCGGCGGACTCGTGATGATGAGAGGCCCGCAGTGGTGGCACGCCGGTAAACAACTTGCTCAGGCTAGAGACTGAGCCGGGCGGCCTGCCCGGTGAGGTTTCAAGTTGGGCAGCCTGAGAGTCTTGCCAGGTTTACTGGCACCGTGCCTGAGTACAGCCTCACGGTGAGTTTCTATCTGGGCTCAGGCTGGCACTGCGGCATGCGATCCGAGGCGCCGCTGAGCCCGGACGGCCGTCACCGCGGCGCCGGGAGGCCGCAGTTGAGCCAACCGTTTAATTTGCAACGGTTCCGTCAGACCGGCGACTCGGAACTTCCGGGAAACCTGATCGGACCGTCCGACGGTCAGTGAGGCTGTACGGTCCGCCGGGCCCGGGGCCGAACCGGTGGATGCGTTTTACCGTCGCCGGAGTCCGGGACGGAGGCTCGGACTGCTGGCGGCCGATTATTATGCCACCGTCACTGTGATCATTGATTCAAAGGTACCGTAGTGACCTTCTACTCAAAATGAATGATAAATATATATCGACAACAGTACCCAAACAGTATAAATAACTAGTAAAAGTACCAGAACTTCCAGGTACTCCAAAACTTCAATACTGTTAAGATGATTTTAACTAACCTCCGCATACTAGAAATTGACTTTCAAAGTAAACAACTAAAACTCCAGTTATAAGGCTCAGCACCCTCAGTGACCAACTCACCACCCTGCATTTGCCAGGCTTTTCAAGTCATATGTACCGGTACTTTCACCACCCTACCCATTTCCCGAATCTCACCTCGTGGAAAAAGAACCTTTCATTCCGCCCGACAAGGACCCCACCCCCTAGTTTACCTTGAAGGTGCTGATCCGATAATTCCGGACCCAACCAGCCCGGCGGGGTCGTTCGATCCGAGACCGAGACCACCCCCTTTTTCTAGGTCATTATTTCTCACTAAGGTGGGGTCCATGGGCTTTCCGGAGACCTCGGAGTTGAACATACCCACCCTCTCCATAACTTTTGGACCCCCTACCCCCTGTATCCCTCTCGGCCCACCTGTGCCGCTACCCTTTGTCTCCACTTTCCTCCAACCTAGTCGCTCCTCCGCCCTCGTTCAGAATCTTGGCGCTGTCCTCCAACCTACCTTCCTTGTCGCACACCTGCCTTCCGTTTCCTGCTCTCGTCAATCTCCCCTCTGTCTCCTTTGACTGCTTCCATCCTCGTCCTCGTTACTCCTCGTCCTCCTTCTTTCCAAATCTTTCTAAGCTCGCGTTAACGTCTCTCTGATACGAAATATCAACATATTCGACTCAAACATGAAAGATCCTTTGGCATATTTTCCATTTAAGAAGGCAGGTAAAGGTCTCAATTGGTTGCCAACTGGGCTAGAGGCTATCAAGGACCTCGCCGATGATGGAGGTAACGAGCAGGAAGGAAGGGACCTTCAGCGGCAGCTGGAGCTCGCAGAGGCCAATCGTTTGACCAACAAGATGATTCCACCAGCCCAGGTGCAATTGAGCCGTAGCTTGACGGCGAGCAGATCACCGCGATGCCTTCGATTTGACGACGAGCCAACTGTGAATATCCCCGAGCACGAGGAGATGAAGAGAATAATGGCGAAGAGGAACCGCCGAGGGTCCAGGGACATCGCTCGTTTTGAGGTAGAAGGCGGAGGCGACCGAGTTTTACCTGCATCACCTGCTGCACATCACACCAATCACGTCTTTTCATTGTTGGATGCAATCGCTGGAGGTGCGGTCGACACGTGGAACTCATCGCCTATCGCATCCATGCTATCCCCGAAAGACGACAAGAGTTTGAACACGATGGAAGAGAAGTTTAATGACGCAATCAACCGTCGCAATGTCCAAGATAGACAGAGGCAGGACATTTCAAGTCCCACGGGTAGTTTTGCGCTGGAAAGAATCTTTACAGCAGAGGCTGAGCAGCCAGCAAAGACTTTGGTGCAGCTGAACAATCCCAGTCGGTTTGGGGTGGCCTCACCTAAGTCTTCAAAGGAATGGAGTTTTTGAAGCGGGTGATCATGTGAACTGCGTTGTTTGTTGTTGGTCTATTTCTCTCAGCCTTTTCGTTCTTGTACATGTTTCTTTCCATGAATTCTTTTCTATACAGTTTCAAGTTATCATATGAGTTCACTCCTACATTTCATGAATAACCTCATTTCTTCCTTCCAGCAGCATGTAACCTCACGGTGATGAGCAACTCATTAGCCCCTGGCAGCAATTGCGTAAGTGCAAGGTTCCTGCTAGCTTGTCAAGTCGGATAGTGATCATCTTGTTGTGGTCTTCTGACCGTGGTATGGCATAGAATCTAGCTCACTCTTCATGACGCATCGTGCCATCGATAGAAAACAGACCGAAACTACAAACGAGGACCACGAGTGATTGACATCCGAAAGGCGAATGGATGCCTGAGGGCGTGCTTCAGTCGATTCATCTCCTCTGCGAGCTCTTCGAGGTATCCCCATCCTCCTCATCCCGCCAACCGATCGGGAGCGAGCTTAGCCTCTCGTTCAACCTGCTCAACTCTTCTTCTATGGGAACATTCCCGTCTCTAACCCCCTCACCATGCTCCACCGGCTTCGCTCTTGGCTTCCTCTCATGTTGCCCCCATCTTGCTTCGCCCCGTGCTCGTTGCTTCATGGATCCTCTCCTGTCTCGCTGTGCACTCCTCTCCTCCTTCTCCTGCATGCTGCGCAGCTGATTGGATGCCCTCACCTCGGCACGATAATGCAGCGTGTTGCTTCCAACCATGTCCATCCTGAAGAAGATGACCTTGTCCTTGGTGCCCCTCCCTCCTCCCCCTCCTCCCCCTCCTCCCATGCTTCAGAAACGAGGAGACCTTGCTCTGACGTTGCCCCTCCTCTGTCTCCTCGCTCCTCTCCCTTGCTCTCCCCCATCCGCTCCTCCCTCTCCTGTCCCTCCTTTTACCCTGACCAGTCGGGGGATTTCAATCCACTTCAACCGCTCAGGGCGGGCAGGGAGCAGCAGCAGGGAGCAGCGGGAGGGAGCAGCGGGAGGGAGCAGCGGGAGGGAGCAGCGGTGGAAGACTGGCAGCTGTGCAACAGGAAGGAAGACGCAGTAGCCGCCCTTTGGCGCGTCTTGAGATGAGCATGGCGACTAGGTTGGCAGTCGCAGTTTGCTTGTTGGTCAATGTGCATGGTGCACAAGATACGTTCCCGCAGCCATGGGTGTACGAGAGCTCGGGATCGACTCCAGGAAGCACTTGCGATCCCTCCAACCCTGCCACCTGCTCTCCCTCTTCCTACTCGCACGACCCCAATGCGCGGAACCCGATGTTTTTCAGCTCGCGATGGGGCAACGCGCAGGGTGTGGATTCAGACCCGGGAGGGTTCGGCATGGAAGGTTTCCCAGCCCGGTCCTGTCTCGATCTCGCCAAGAAGCCATACTTCAGCAGCGGGGTGTACTGGCTGCAGCCAGCAGGCTACGATCGGCCGTTTCAGGGATACTGCGACATGGACAGCTTCGGAGGAGGTTGGCTGATGTGCTACACGACCTCCGACGCCGTGCACATGTCGACTGAGACGAGCTCCTCGCAGCCATACGGGGTCGACGGCTACAGGTCGGACTGCACGAGGTATCCTTTCAACCAGGTCATGTACGTGTACCATCCCACCCTCCCTGGCAGCGCCGAGGACAAGGCTTGGTTCTCCTTCCGGGGCCAGAATGCCCTCGTCGCTCAGCGGTCAGGGTTTAGTGGGTCAGTGAACGCGTCATGGGCAGCGGGCAGTGGCGTCCTCGGCCTCCTCTTCGACTCCAAGTATCAGGCGTCTTCGCGAACGCCGAGCTGCATACAGGAGCGAACAAACTTCGCTTGCAAGGTTCCGGTTGTGGTAGGGAGCAAGTTTCAAGAGTGCCCCGATTGCTTTGCGGTTCAGCCTCAGATGGGCAATGCGAGTTGTACTTCTCCAGACTTCTCGGTGTGCTGGTGCGATCCTGTTCACAGCAGCGGATGCGTCCAGCCCAACTCTCCTCCTGTGCTGCTCCAGCTTTCAGCGCAGGTGAGATCTGACGTGCCAGGGGCGTAAGCGAGCACTGACGGGCTTTGACAGCATGATGCAGTCACCAACTTCTACGCTGGCTGGGTCGTCATGATTGTGGGGGGTACAGGAAGCGGGCAGACAAGAATGATCCTCTCCAGCACGGGAGGCTCCTGCTCCTCGTCCTCCTTCTCCACAGCTGCTTCGTGCATCGACGGCGGCGCAACCTGGATGAACGGGCCTGCAAAGATTCAGCCGGAGTCAACATGGGCGACGCTGCCATGCTCAGACCCAAAGGTGGATGGCTATATCTGCAATGCGACATGTACAGACACTTACCCAGCAGATGGAACGTGAGCTAAATTGATGTTGCAATCATCCTGTGATGAGGTTTGTGCTGCAGAACTTGCAACAATGGTGAAGTCTACCCCACGCTGTCGACATGCTCGAGCGCTTGCCAGGTGAGTTCTGTCTGCATGCTCTCTCAGTCGAGTGACTCCTCGCGATAAGTCCTACACCGGAGCCTCCTCCTGCTCTTATCGCTGCACGACAGTTTACAAGATCTAGTGCGGGGTTCGTCGCTTGATCGCCCTGACTTGACTCGCCTTATCGCAGCTCCCCCTACGAGTGCACGGACCTCGACTGGGAATGCGGGTATTTCTCCAAAGGAGGCGTTAGAAGGGGATACACCCCTTCAACGGTCAGGCGCGGCTCTCAGCTGCTGCGAGCGAGTGACACATGCTTCAAGGTCTCTTGTACTGGTCAGTGTCAGTGCGACAACGCTGGCGTCCCGCGCTGCTCGGGGGGAACGGGAACTTGTACGTGCATAGCGAGTGAATCGAGCTCAGCGCCGTCCTCGGCCCCGTGGAGCCAGGTGAAGCAGGAGGGGACGCTGCTTCTCTGACAGTCGACAAGAGTGTCTTCCGTCTTGCTAGCGGCGTCAACCCGGATGGATGTACGGGAGCCTTCAGACTGTGTCAGGTCAGCAGCGCGTCACGGGGTTGATGTAGAAACTCACTAGCCCCTGCTCTCCCTCAGGGCTCCAACCCGTATGCTGGCTACCAGCTCGTCATTAACGGACAAACGAGAACGATCGTCGGGTACAGCGGCTACCACAAGGTCGTCAAGGTAAGCTCGAGGCACCAGAGAATCGGCTTGTGACGTCATCGCCTCTTCTAGGTTGACTCTCCCTTGCAAGTTGGTCCTGTTCCAGCTCCCAGCGAGGACGCGACGTGGAGCGGAGCGAGCAGGCATGCTGTTCTGTTGTCACGATTGTGTGATGATGATGATACAGTTATGAGATGAAGCTTGCTCAAGAATGTAGCAACGTCTACAACAATCAGAGAGAGAAGAGTGCGTGTGCTGCTACCCAGTACTATCAGGTCAAGTTTGTTGTCTTGAAGGTGTCTTCTGAAAGGAGCAGATGATGATTTGTGATAACGTCGGAGATGTGGCTTCGAGGATGGCAGGAGGTTTCATTGTGACAGGTTTCAATCCGGTACCTCAACATCAGCGACGTCAACTGCTCACACTGATCGTGTTCATAGACGACAAACTGCATCAAGACTTGCGAGGACTTCAGTTTCTGTGAGGACGATGAAAGTGAATGGTATCGAGCATCCACAGGTTATCGTATCTTCTACCGTTGCCAACGGCTGAACAAGTGGAACAGGAGTAGCTGAGGCCAGCGGGGTAGTTTTTAAACAGAACGGGCTGAAAGTAAGTTGGAGGGTTGACTATGGAAAATTTCTGACTCGCAGCCCCAGCCCTCGTCTCTACCCAACGCTCTGATCTCCGTCGGGATTCGCCTGGTAGATGATCGGAACGTGCTTGTAAAGTAGTACAGTAGTCTATCCTAACTATCTGCCTTCCCCTTCACTCTCGCGCTTCTGCAGCTTCTTGAGGACCTGCCAAGGGGTCATGCTTCACACGTCTACCTCAAACTCTTACACTAGCGATGGACTGCGAGGACTGGCGGGTAAGAGAGCCCAAGAACGACTTCACGTCCGGGTATTCCTCTCGTCTCTGAGCGCCGTCGCCCGCTCCCTCGATGCTCATCTGTCTCAGCGACGAATGACGCTTGACTCGAGCGACGAGACGCTCTAGAGGCACCTGGACGCAGGTCAACACGTGGTCAGACATTTTGATAGCACCTCTTGTTCAGCTGGGCTCGACTCCTTGACAAGGACCGTCCACAGCAGGTCCAAGTCTTCTTCAGTAACGTCACAACCTGCTCGCTCGAGATACATCCTGAAGGCTTGTGAGTCGACAAGGCAAGTGTGTATGAAGAGACCTGAAGGTGTCTGCAGACATCTCAACATCGACACGGTCCTGCTCTTCCCTGTACTCGAAGATCACTCCAGACAGAAAAAAAACGTGTTACAAAGACAATCGCGTGACGAGCGCATATGGAAAATTTGCTGCCAAGGAATGAATAATCTGAACAGCACACAAGTGAGATTCCCATGAGGTATGCTATAGCTCACATGGTCGCAAGTCGTTTGCAATCGTTTCCTAGAGCACATACTGAGTGATGGCACAAGAACATTCAGATTGTCTACTTGTTGTCTGAAGAATCTAACAGGCTGCGTTCCGATTTCACCAGAGAGCCGTTTGTCGTAGATGTGTCTATGATTTGAGATCTGTTTTGTTTGTCGATCTTGTACAACTCTTTCATCTCTCTTTTCCGAGCCTGCTCATCGAGTCAGGTCTCATGTCCTATCCGACAAGATACCAGCCTCCTGCTTCCATTCGAGTTGTATCTGTTTGACTCTTGACCTAGATCGCGCACGTGTCAATCCTCTCTCGAGGAGGTTCATCCACCATCACCTGATCTTCTCTTGCTCTACGATGTTCCTGGGGTACCTCACTCGATCTCTCCGAGCCCCGAACCTCCTATAACATGCAACTCAGACATCTACCGACCGAGCGCAGCGGGCAAGCAAAAGTCTCGCACAGGAACAGCTTGAGCGTAATTTCTTCATCTTTTTCCAATTTCTCCCATGCGCGAGCAAATCTTGAGCTGCGGAAGTGTAAAGGAGACGCTCTCTGTCGTCCAGCAGAGTTCTTACCCATCTTTCTCTCTGGAGCCTTCCTGCACCTGCGTCTCTCGTCAACGCATGTCTAGATGTAGTCTGGTAAACCTCTCTAAGAGAGTTCTCGGCTCTTATCGCAAACAACGATCTGCACATGGTGACAAGAGGCCCTAGCGGTTCAAGCAGAACCTTCTAGATCGACGAGGAGTAGCAAACGCTTCGCCCAGGTGCTGCTGAGGCTCCTCAGAGGGTCTTGTTGGCTTGACTTGCGCCGGCTCTTGGACTCTTTTCTCCTCTAGGCTCCCTGTCCGCGACATGCCGTGAGGAGCAACAAGGCAAGGAGACTAGGAGACATGACCTTCACTGTGCCGCTTCTTCTGCTTGGACTCGCTTCTGCTCTTGAAAGGTGTGCTGTCTGCTTGTTGTGGAGGCGATTCTACCAAGCTGTTCTGCCATGTTAGCGGAGCGCTTGCGGGTGAGGTCTCTCACCAGCGCTGGTCGTCAGCAGCTTCTCGTCGGCGGGGGGGGTTGACGATAGCGCATCTCCTCGCTCGCTCCCACACCTGCATCTCTGGCGCCTGCGCGTCCAGCAGTCTCATCGGCAAACCCAGTTGACACGTCATGAGCTGAGAAGCCCTCAGTACGTCATGAGAATGCGCGTCAAGGGTCACCCGCTTGACGTCTTGATCTAGCCTGGGAAGGTACCGGCTTGTGATAAGGGGCTCCAGTCGTTGAAACATGTACTGGCACACAAGCACTTGAATGACCTCGCAAATCATATCCGGTGACTCACCAGCTCTTCCTTGTCTTTCTTCTCCGCGAGGCGACGGGAATGCTGCGTACTGATTTCATCCTCCGCAAGATGCCGGCGATGGCTGGCTGAGACTTGATCCCCTCCTCCTGCTCTCCTTTCATTCCCCAACGCTCATTCGAGCTCAGCGCATCGCACCTGACGTCTGCGCCTGCATTCTTGCTCGTGCCGACCGCAGGTTCAAGTTCGGCATCCTTCCTGAGATACGAGCATCAGAATCAAGATCCTTCATCTCCCCCCTCTCCCCCCCGCGCGCGCACCATCACCTGGAGAGAAAGGTCCATCCAGCTTGAGGGCAAGGATGTCCATGGGGATCGGCCCTCGCCCCTCGAGAGGCATCAGGTCACTGTCAGCTTCCGCGTTCCTTCATCGCCTCACGGCAGCATCGCACTGGAAGTTCAGCCTCGGACATGCCCTCTCGAACTGCCGCTTGCAGCTGCTCGCTTCCTTCCTGCCATGAACGGTAGCCAACGCCCAAGTACTGGTCGCCGGTTACTCCCGTTAGTATTCCCTCAGACGGTGTCACTTACTAATAAGGGCCCTCGGGACTCGAGCCCGGACCCGGGGCCCGCAGACTTGTCAGTCCTTCCCTCTAATGCATACGAGGGTTCGCTAGGTACGGGCCAACTTCCATGCCAGCGAACCTGTGGAAGTATGCAGGTGCTGTAGCGCTTCTTGCTGCCCTCGCCCAGCTCCTCTCCTTCACCCACGTCCTCGAGAGTGTGTGGGGCTTCCTGCTCGTGCTCCTGCCCGAAAACCAATGCGTTCCATCCTCCATGCTCTCTGCGCTAGTTTCAGGCTTCATCTTTTACAACGTCGGCTGGTTCATATGTGTGCTGGACCTCTCCGAGGCTCGTCGGGACGGCGAGAAGGACATCGGCTTCATAGGAGAGCACTACCTCGGCGAGCCAGGCGACACCATCGAAATGGTGCTAGTATGCCGCAAAGACCTGGACATGTCGCCGGGCAAGCTTGCTTTGCAGTGTGGACATGCGACGGTGGGGATCTACAGGAGGCTGTGGAGGAAGAACATTGGGATCGTAAAGTCTTGGGAGGATGCAGGGCAGAAGAAGATCATCCTAGAGGTCGCAGACGAAGAGAGCATGCTGGCGGCGCAGAAGCAGGTAGGGGAGTAGAGGCAGAAATGCAGCTTGCTCCTCTTTTCGTCGGTCTGTAGTGCTACAAGTCTTGTGTCCTTGCTGTGAAAGTTGATGTGTCCTTGCTGTGAAAGTTGATGTGTCCTTGCTGTGAAAGTTCATCCATGGGTAACATGGAGTTTGAGCGAAGCGCTGTCTCTCCCTAGTTTGCCTGCCGCCATTTCTATCTCTTACCATACAGTCGGTGCAGGTGAAGAGGAAGGGATTGCCCACGTTTTTCGTGCGAGATGCAAGAGAAGAGTTTGTGGTGAGTTAGTCGAGCATGCGAGCATGCGAGCAGGAGGGAGGCCGAACAACGAGAATGTTGACAAGGAGGGCGGAAGGGGATTGAACGAGGACGAGGATGATGATGACGACGACGACGAAGAGGGGTAGAAAGGCAAAGACTGACGCGCTAGTACGCAGGATGGGGAGCTTCGGATGGGAAATCGCTCGCTGTTTGCTGCTCTTGGACCGTCGAAGATGCTGAGAAGCATACTTGGAGAACTTTCGGTGGTGGAATAGAAGAAGGAAGAGGTCGAGGGAAAGGAAGGGAGAATGTGGGAGGCAGGGTGAGGAATGTGCAATCATGTAAATGTCTATAGAACACACATAACATCTTGTTTATTCATCTTCTATCTCTTCTTCTTCTGCATGCTCATGATCTTGCGGAAGAGGCTTCTGCAGCAGGGCAGTCAAAAGATGCGGTGGGAACAAGGGATGGCCATGGGCAGACGGGAGAGGGTCGAAAGGAGAGGAGGAAGAGTAGATGTGATGCTGAGCAGTGGAGGATAGCAGGAAAGGTGAGAGCTGGTAGGGGACTATGAAAGGAGGGGCATGGCAGGAGATGATACTTGTCTTCGAGCCTCCAGAGCCTTGAGAGGTGAAGGGTGACCGCAACCGCAACCAGGTGGATGACAATGCTGCCAGTCAGAGATCAGCAGATGTGAGGACGAGGATGATCACCAGGACGAGAGCACGGAGCAGGAGAACGAGAGGGGGGGGGGAGAAGCATAGGAAGGAGGAAGAGGGTCAGGAGCGAGGGAGGAGGGAGAGAGGAGGATGAAGGGAGGGGAAGGGAGGGGAGGGAAAATGTAGAGGAAAGGAAGTGTCAAGTCTCACCGTAGAATATTGTCTTCCGTTCTGCCTGGCTGATCTGTCTCTGAAAGAGAGAAGATATGAGAAACAAGGTATGAAAGAAAAGACAAGTCAAGAGATCAGAAATAGGACAAGTAAGTCAAGAGATGAGAAATAGGACAAGTAAGTCAAGAGATGAGAAATAGGACAAGTAAGTCAAGAGATGAGAGACAGGACAAGTAAGCCAAGAGATGAGAGGAAATGAGAGTTCTTGCCTCCCCGCATCACGTCCGTCAGGATCTCGCCCACCACCCTGTGAATCATCTTTAGTTCGATCAGCCTTGACGGACCAGACGTCACCGGAGGCAGCGAACAGCCGTCAAGAACACAATCCACATCCAATGTTCGAGGTTTGTCGGGAAGATGTCGGCGACTAGCAATGCGTGAGATCGATCGATGGACAGGCTGAGGTACCGCTCGATGCGCATGTGAGGATCAAGAGGTTGAAGAGAGAGTCGGGAACGTTCCAGAAGATGACTGGGAGGCGTCAGGTCCGAGGGTTCACCAAGACAGGACCCACTCACAGTGAAACAAGACGCAGAAGAAACGCGTCACGTTGAGCTGTCAACTGATCGTCACGGGCGAGGGAGTGAGTGGCAGACGCACCATGACGCTGAAGATGAGCTCTGCTTGCTCCAGGGGGACTGAGAGGACCTCAGGCCAACAGAGACAACCGATGGCCTGTACCTTTCTGTAGGTAGACAAAATAATTCCAGAAGACTTGAAGACCGAGGAGGCTCAGAGTTTGCAACTACACAGAAATGATGTTAAGGTATGATGGAGGTGGTGGTGATGGTGGTGGAGGAGGAGAAGGTAACAAACCTTCTCTACTATCGGCTCAGGAAAAGGTTTAGAGAAGATGTCGTAAAGAACTGACAATGAACAATCAGATTGACTGATCACTACCATGGAAAATTTTTGATTTACCGAAACAAGTGACGATGGGTTGAAGGAAGCAGAGGATGCTTTGAACCTGTTATCACATCGTGTCAACCTTTCAGTCGCTCCAACGCTGCATGTCGACTTGTCGCAGCTTGTGTTGCTTGATCGTCTTTGAGTAGACGCTCATCATGCTGCAGGTGCAAATGAAGTTAGAGGAAGCGGGGGAAAGCAACACAGGGCAGCACATCGAATCTTGTTTACTCCAGCCCTCAAACTTGTCAATCTTGTTGTAGATGATGCGTCTGATCTCATGGAATCGAGGCAACCTGTCCTTATCATCACTTCAACTCTCTTACAAACAAGGGGCATCACCTAACAAACCCCCCGATGCTTTCTTCCCCTGGCATCTCCTCTTCCTCCGTGACGCCTGGCAGGCAACAAGTCACCCGAGTGCTCCCCGACGCTCAACGAGCATACCCAACAACCTCCTTGCGCTGTCATCTGCAACCAGCAACACAAACAAGACGATTCAGCTAAAGTTGCGATGCACACAGTGTCTGTGTGAAGACGACCGCATTTCTGTTCATCAACTTCCTCCTTCTCCCCTCTCGACACACCCCTGAAAATTTTCCCTCCCTCCTTCCTGAATCTTCCTTGCCTCCTCGATCTCCCCCTCAACTCCTCCTCTCTCTCACATGCTTTTATCCTTGTTGCCTTCACGTGAGCCTCGTCACCGCCTTTCACAAAACTTGTCTGCTCAACATCGACCAGTCAAAATGCAGGAGACGTAGCAGAAGCAGGAGCAGCGCAGTAACGATGTTTTTCAGTGAGAGGGGGGGGGGTAAAGAGGAGCGCGGGAGAAGTTAGCAAGTAGGAAATCGAGGAATGAAAGGAATGAGAAGGGAGCAGAAAAAGAAAAGCAGGGGAGGAGTAAGGGGAGGAGGAGGAGTCAGAGGAGGAGGAGGAGTGAGTGGAGGGGGGAGGAGAAAAGCAGATGAGGAGTAAAAGGAGGACGACGAGGACGAGGAGGAGGAGTAGGTGGAAGTAGATTATGATGTCCCTGAGGGTTATGCCTATGAAAAAATAAAAAAAAAAAAAAATTATCTTTTTTTTTTTTTTTAT